CGTTCATTAGAGAGGGGTCAGTCTAATAATCTAATAAAAACTAAGAATCGTAGCAGGGAATTAAGGCGTTTATTTGACAGAAGGCGTCTAGTAGATCATTTACGATAGGTATTGGAAAAGAGAGTGCCAATAGATTTAACGTACCTTTCTTGATGCTATGACAATTAATACAGCGACAATAAATGTCAGGTAATACCCTGGATAAAATCCATGCCATATGGTGGACACAACGTAAGTAACTAAAGTCCTCTGATAAGGTGGAAGATGCGAGACTCTGTCATAAACCGTTCTGTCAAAAAAGAATTACCGTCTTCCTCGAATAAGCGCCTGGGTGCTTATTGGAAGGAGGGCGTTTAATCGTAGCCTGCGAAAACATCCGTTTCTCCTCGCTCTTCGTCGCTGAGGACGTTTCGCGCGGAGGAACGTCTGCGACTCAGTGACAGAAATTCCATACTGATGACGCAAATCAATGTTTACATAATAAATCCGGTAGTCATGGGGTTCCAAATATAAATTTGTCTAATTTTGCGTGTCTTCTGGTCGATTTTGGTTGTGTTGCGTTGATCTCCCCACGAGCTCCAGCAAAACTCAAATGCTTCTTCTAGAGAAGACTATATTGCACAAATATTGACTGTTTTGTTAGAGATTCTTCGTGTTTACATTTGACCTTTTTGGCCTTTTGTCTTTTGTCTGTCATTTGTAAACAATAGCTAAAACAATGTAACTGCTCCGTCGACGAATCAGCGCTTCTGACCGGATTCTGGACAGATTTTACGTCATCAGTATGGAATTTCTGTCGCTGAGTCGCAGACGTTCCTCCGCGCGAAACGTCCTCAGCGACGAAGAGCGAGGAGAAACGGATGTTTTCGCAGGCTAGTTTAATCGAGGGGGGCGCTTATTACCATTTCCTGTTGGTAATCAAGCCTACCTTAGTTCCATTACACGGTTTACTCACAGAGTTATAGTAGCAATAGAAACAGGTTTCCCTTGTATACCATACTACTATAGAAAATGATGGGGGAGGGGAGGGGGGCGCTAGTTGATATTTTGGCCTTGGGGGGTGGGCCTTTATTCAAGGAAATACGGTAACAGAATGACCTGATACCAGAAATCGGCTCTTGCTGATACGCATTATTCACCCCTAAAGTGCGAAATATTGAAGATAAATTTTTAAACTTGAAAGTTCCTCCCTTTTCCAGACTTGTTCTCACTACGTCCTGCGACAATTTTTGATTTTAGACCTTCTCAGCATCTACCGCGATACTTTTAGACCTTTCAATGGCTCTTTCATAACTTATACTTCGAGTAAGCTCATACACGAAGAGGAGCTTCCACTTTCGCGGTGAAAAAGTGCTCTAAAATGTCTCTAAAATTAAACCGGCCCTTGAAAGATTTGAAAACGCCATATATATGGTAGGCCAACTATAGGAGTCGTTCGCTCCGGCTTATGGGCTTCTGTAAGCGTTTAGCTGTAAAAACTCAGAGAAATAGACTGGTAACGAGTCTGAGCTCATTCATCTTGTGCTGCCCAGCCCTCCCGGTTTTTCCAATTGCCCGCATGAACGAGCAGGTCTCACGAATAAATATCATCGGTTACACGGGTATTGCTGACTTTTAAATCCCCAAAATAAGGTTCATTTACCTTCTAAGCCAAAGGTTTGTTGTCATGTTCCAGTTTTGTATCATCCTTCTAAAGTTTGTTGACGTCTGCGCAGTACCACCGGCAAATTTTATTCAGATATAAAGAAAAAACACCATGCAGATATAACAAACAACGCAAAAGACGACATCAATAGTTTTAAGCTTTTGACGAAATTTTGCTTTTACGCGGTACGCGGTCATTTTCCAAGAAAAAAATACACAGGTAAAAAAAACTAGAGAGTGAAAATAAAATTAAAGAAGATTAAAATTAAATGATATTATCTTTGACAAATAACTTGAGAAGTTTTAGCAAGCCTGCTGCCTGCCTCCAAAGGACTACGTCAAGATTTCAGCATCTTGAAAAGTTTGGCCAAAATTGTTTAAGTTTGTCTTTGGTTATCCAGTAACCTAAAACTGTCCTTAATTCTCCCGATCTGTTGTGCACACTGAACATCTGGTTTTTCTCTATATGACCAGCTATATACCTGTTGTAGTTAATTTCAGATTTAACTCAGGTAATTTTTGCTTTTCTTTTGTTTTTGGGTATGGTAATGTATGCTAATGAAGTTGAAACAAAGGAAAAATGAAAATTACATGAGATAAAAAATTAACTACCACATATCTTTTTTTTAAATCTCAAGTTAATTTTGGAAGTTGAAAACCATGATTTTAATACAGTCAAAACCCGTTAATACGGACAATAATGGGGCCTTAGAAAGTGTCCGTATTAAAGGGCTGTTCGTATTAAGGGGGTAGAATTTAGAGAAAATGTAGGGGCTTTCTTTCCCCAGGGACAAAGCAAACTGTCCATAATAATGAGGTGACCGTATTAAGAGGGTGTCAGTAAAGCGGGGTTTGACCGTATCACCACAGAGCTCCTTTTAATTTTCTTCAGCTTGTTCTGTCAGGATGGATGGAGTGTTCCATTGAATGTATTCACAAAAAGATTGTTACAACAGGGCGTATTGGTCAGTATCTATGCTAATTTATACGAACAAAACAAAGCTTTTACATAAGAAAAGAGTTCAATTCCGTCAGGGTTGTCTTGGTACACCAACATGGCTGCCGTTTCATTGTTTTGGAACACCAATATGGCCGCTATGTCGTCATGTGAATACGCTCTAATCGATCTCCTGTTGGCGAAGGGGATAACGGATCGCCTTCGGCTTCGGCCACAAGAGATCTGGGTACGAGATTATCTTCAAACCTGATTTTGAATCAACTGGAACACTATGCTGTGGTGGATCCGGGATCCCTAGTCACGAGCACGAGACCGGCAATAGTACCAATCCGACGTAGGAATTATTTGGAAAGGGAGACTGCAAAGATGCCCTTACTAAAAAAAGAAGGAATTTTGATTGATGCGCAACGAAACTGCGTAATCTATCTAATCAGACCAAGACGATAAAACAAAGCGAAAGAAGCAGATTTTCATGTCTCTAAACTCTTCTAAGATTGAGCTCCATGTCTGTGTAATGAGCGGTAAAACAAGACTTTGAGTGTCAAGACCGAATAGGCTGATTTAGCAGCAGAACGGGAACGTCAGTTGACGACGGCGCGAGCAAATCAAACGACTGACTTAACCAATGGCAGAGGGGCAAATTGGGCACCGGAAGTCGTGTTTAGTACTCTCCGCGCTCTTTCCCGTCGTCAACTGACGTTCCCGTCCTGCTGCTAAAACAGCCTAATAATGTGCCCGTAAAGGCACGATAAAACAGGCAAAAAAACGATTTAAAAACGAGTTAACAAGTGATGTTGCGCGTTTTACCACTCACATTTAAACCCGTCATGCAACAAATCAGGTTGTTGCAGGTTGCGAAAAGTTGTTGCACAAAAGGGGAGTAGTCCTGCTTTTTGAACCAAAATCTGCAATGTTGGAGAGTTTTAGCGGCCCAAGGCAATACTTGTTTTGCAGCAAGTGACGTAAGTCCCGTCGCGTTATTTTATCCAGTCAGAAGTCAGTATTCAAGCAACTTGCAGCAATTTTATTTGTTGCAAAACAGGTTTGAACGTGGGTGGTAAGACGTGTAACATTGCTATTCAACTCGTTTAGCAGCAATTTGCAAAACAAGTTTCACGTTTTTGTTGCCCGTTTTCCCATAGCTTAAGAGCTGGAGTTACTGCCCTATTTGCGAGAGTTCAAACATCTGTAACTGTGCCAGGGATTTAATTGCCGCTCATATTGGCATGGTATCTGTAATATCAAGGTGTCAGCAAGGCAAGACTGGTTACTTCCGTCAAAACCAGTCAATGCGTTGTCGAAAATAGAGTCAAACCGAGCTTTACGGACACCCTCTTAAAACGGACCGTTTACTTTGTCCCTGGGGAAAGAAGCCCTTAAAATGTCCCTAAATTGAACCTGCCGTTAAAACGGACACTTTCTATGGCCCCCTTAGTGTCTGCATCAAAGAAATTTGAATGTACGATCAATCCAGCAAGCACGAAGCAGAAACGAAGACATTCTGGAAAAACTAAGGTGAAGCAACTGACGTGTGATTCGATCGGTTTTTGTCGTTTGGTCGCAAACCGATTTCCTACACTGTTTCCCTCATCAACTGACCTCTAGCTCAATTACATTCACATTTGTTACTCCATTCCACAGCTCCTCTCCTTTGGCATCATAGCCGTTAAAGCCTAGTCCGCATGCGTTATTCCCTGCGTCCGCTGTTACGAGAAAAAGGACAGAAGTACATTACTAAAAGGAAGTACTGACGGAAAAGAAAAGAAACGTATACTAACAGTTATCGGGAGTCAACTGTACTCTTCTTTGCTTTTCTGTAATGTCTTGCTGCATACTCATCCATCGAAGCCATTGGAGAATCCATATAGTTTATACACTAGCTTCATAGAAATGAGAAACGTACTAAGAGCTCCAATGCAGTATGGTTGGTCATGCCCGCGGGGATCATGTATTAGCTTGCATTTACTGATAATTCTCAAAGGACCCAGAGACTTAAGGAAGTAATGTGTCAGTATGATGGTCATAATTTGCGGTTACTGTCGTAATTTCTACTACTTTTGACATAAATTGCATGGAATGCCTATCGCAATTTATAAGGAATGGCTGTAGCAATAAGCCATGGCCATTTCCTCAGTAGTTGGTCTTAACCTCGGGGACTAAACACCGCCCTCCAATAAACGCCGCGAGGTTCGAGTTACCGAGGGTTCGAGTTATCGGGAGTCAACTGTAATTAAAAACCTGCAAACTGTTCCAAGGGTGAAAGAAACGTAACTGAATATTTCAATAATTCTGTAGTTAAATACGATTGCCCCACGAATAAGAACCCCTCTGCCCTATCGTAACTTTGAAGTAAGGGCCCTAGATGTTAATTCCAGGCTACTACCAAACGGGCCGATTAAGTATAACTTTGGTACCAGGCTTACAAAACGCGTAATGGTCAATGGTTGAGCTTATTATCATAAAGCTTATTATAAAGCAAACGGACGCAAGATTGTTGCCCAAAAACTCCCAGCATTGCTGGATTTTACATGTTGCCAGGGTCCGAAATTGCGCCTTCCTGGTCGCCAATGCGACCAAAAATTCAGTTCTGGCGACCAGAATTTCATAGTTGGTCGCCAGCTGGCGACCTCGTAAAGCTGGTTGTCATTGTAGACTTTCACGTTCGGAGAAAATGATGAAGAATTGAAACCTCGAAGCTATTTGCCAACAGGTGTCATACTTTTCGTCCAGCGGATATTTTTTTAATTTAAAAGTGAAACGAATCTTCCTGTAAATATACCACAACGTTTCCAAGCCGCCAAAGGGAATTTTTGGCGACCATAATTTGTCCCCTGGCGACCAAAAATTTACACTTGCTCACCAGTTGGCGCCCATATTAAAAAGTTAATTTCGTTTGCATGTTGTTGCAAAAGTTTGAAACCGGTCAAACTTTTCAGCCAACAACTCCCAACATTTCTTTTGTTCCGTGATCGCCGAAGCGTAGCGCTACAATGTTGGATCCGTTCGCACAGCTCTTCCAAACTTGCTGGGGACACGCACGCTTATCACACATGGTCTCCACAGTCTTATGGGTTGTATCCTTCCCATGATGCACTGCAGGTCTCAACATTGTTGGCCCAACAATGTGGGGAGTTGGTGCGTCCGTTTGCAAGTAGCTTAAGGCTGGACGCCGATTTGAGATACAGAGAGAAGCAGGTAGTTACCATGAGTCAACTGAAACCCAGTAGTTCAAAAGGTGGATAAGTAAACGCTATCCAGTGGGTAAATCCCTAATCCAGAGGATAGTGCAATCGGTTTTCCTAATACTTCCCAGCTAGAAAGTGATTTATCCGATGGATAGCACTATCCAACCTTTGAACAACCGGGGCAAGAACATTTCTAATCTTACCTATGATCCACGCAAAATAATATTTTAATCGAGCAATGAACATGATGAAAAATGACACTGCCATTCTCCATAAAAAAGAACTATTGGCGATGAAGTGAGGATCTGTATAAAAAAAATGGAAAACAGGCGCTAAGAAGGAATAATTGATAAAAATGCACGAGGGACATATTCACAGAACTAGCTGCTAAGAAATAGAACATCTCAGTGAAAGCTAGTCAATTAGGCTCTGATAGATTGTGCTAGCATAATTTTTGGCATAATTCGTCACTACATAAGTGCATAATTTTCACCTATTTCCCAAAAAGCACTGCGCGCATAAATTGCACTTTTTGGCTAGTCTTGTAGCTTAAAATTGTCATTCATTTACCATGCAACCATTTTTTGCCGGAAATCAGTGTTACTGGCAAATTTAAGTAACAAAATAATTTTTTATGTCTCCTTGTTGTCACATTCATGGGACCTGGGTCCCACATATCCAAGGGACTCAAAGCATGCGCATAACTAGCTCGGTTACCTGCTGGTTGTTAATTGTTTTAATCTTTATAGTCATCAGACAATAAATTTTACACTGTTAAAGTTTCTAGATGTAAATAGGGTAAATAAGTTTGCCTTTACTTTTTTGCTGCATATCGTTATTGAGGTGTTTTTATCAAATTTAGTAGAGGCATGATTTCTGCATTTTTGTTAAAATGAGTTTAATTTACAAAGATTAGCATAATAATTGGCATAATTTTAGAAATATACGAGCACTACTAGTGGCATATTACGCTACTTTTGCGAGCAGAACTCTATCAAAGCCTACAATCAATTAGTTCGGTAAAGTCAGGCAGTATCTAAAAAGGCTAACTCAGCTGGTCAGTCGGCCAGTCAGTGAGCTATTCAGCTAGTTAGTCAGCCAGTTAGCTTATCAGTCTCGGTCAGTCGGCCAGAGAGCTATTTAGTCAGCCAGTCAGTCGGTCAGTGAATCAGTGAGCTAGTCAGTTAGTCGTCCAGTCACTAATCAGTCAGTCAATTAGCCTATCTGTAAGTCGATCAATCTGTCAGTCAGTCAGCTAGTCAACCAGTTAGCCAGTCCGCATGTCAGCCAGTCAGTCAGTCAATTAATGAATGGTGAGCGAAAAAACCGTTAGGGATGCGTAAGTCATAAATGTCTTTGAAGAAACATTCTTTTCGGATGTATAATCTTTCTTCAGTGTTCAGAAAACCGTTGCAAAACTATACGCAGTTGTCATTAGACAAAAAAAATGAAGCACGTGCACGTGTAAATACTCGCGCGCGAGGGATGATTTGTCACAGTTAAAATGAAGCTGAAATTGATATTTAGTCCTTTCGGCTGGATGGTTCCTAGCTGGAAAATCATCCCCATTTCATGCTGCTTCCATTGGATGTTGGCTCCACCGCAAAGAGCCAGACCACACACTTGGGTATCAGAAATACTGTGTCCCGTGGAGTTGAAATGTTGCGTCACAGGACACCCAGGATTGTTGTTGCGTACACTTCACAAATGTTCGCTAAAACAACTCGCGAAGTTTCGTCCAGTTTCACCGATGTAATGATCGCCCCATGTAAGGGAATCCGGATTCCAGAATCTGGGAACTTATTGCTTGTGGAATACAGAATCCTAGCCTTTGGAATCCGGAATACAGTTTAAGGAACCCGGAATGCCACCAACGTTTGGAATCCAGAATCCAAGTTTCATTAACAACGGCTAAAATCCAGTACCTCAAGTCCGGAATCCACGGCGTGGGATCCAGAATCCAAGGCTGTCTTGGATTTCCTTACTTGAGTCGATATAGAGGAGGGCATCAGCGGCAGGATATGCAGTAAACAAGATTCTCAGATTGGCAAGTGAAATGAATAGAAAGGGAACACTTAAGGCCTCGTATCTCAGGGACAGAATTGATGTGATTGCAGGTCTTGCGGATGAGTCAGTCAATTAGCCTATCATTCAGCCTGTCAGTCAGTCAGCCTACCAGTCAGTGAGCTAGTCATTTAGTAAGTCAGTCAGTCAGCCAGGCTGTCAGTCAGATAGTCAGTTAGTCAGCCAGCCTGTCAGTTAGTAAGTCAGCCAGTCAGACAGGTAGCTAGTCAGTCAGTTAGTGAGCTGGTCGGTCAGTTAGTCAGTCAGTCCATTAATCGTTGAAATAAATAAATAAAGGGGATACGTTTGGGGGAGCAGGGATGGCGCAGTGGTGAGAGCACTCGCCTTCCACCAATGTGGCCCGGGTTCGATTCCCGGACTCGACGTCATATGTGGGTTGAGTTTGTTGTTGGTTCTCTTCTCTGCTCCGAGAGGTTTTTCTCCGGGTACTTCGGTTTTCCCCTCTCCGCAAAAACCAACATTTCTAAATTCCAATTCGATCCGGAATGCTCGAGCGTTTAATACATGAGCCCCTGGCTCGGGAGATTGGGCAACCACTCCTCACGCTATCGAGCTTAAATAAAATTGATTTGATTTGATACTTTTTTAAAAAAGTGTGGTGTAGCGTCGTTGGGGGAGTGAAAAATTAAAAATTTGAGTGAAAACTAAATTGGCCACCATAGATCATAGAGAGATTGGGAAACTAACAGGACCTCTCAATCTCTTCAAAAGATGGACAATTGAGATTATCAACCGTGTTTTTCTATTTTTTTTTTCTAATCTTTGAAGTTCTCCAGTACGGAAGTGCGTACTCACATACAGGTAGCTACGCCTCTACATTCAACAACTAATTTTGGTGCATGGAGTGGATTACGATCTGTTTTTGGAAACTTTACCTGCGTTAAGCTCGAAAGGAAACACTTTAGAACCAAGAAGAAAAAGGATGACGCACAACAGACTGGAAGCAAATTTCTGTAAAGTGGGTACCTGTTAAAAGAAGGCAAAAACAATAACAATATAATTTAAAAAACACCATTGAATTCTGAAACAAAATCATGTGTTGCTTTAATTTGCACTTCTGAGAATGGATAGGAAATATTCGTGAAAAACTGCCCCTACATTCCACCACCTTCCATTTACATTTCCTGCGGCTGCGGTGACATGTATTTTACTGTGAGTTCTGATTGGCTTAAAGGATTGACTAGCTTAGTTTTAAGCTTAAAAAACTAACACAATTTACTGTAGGAGGCTAACATGTAGTAATTACCTCGAACAGCTACAACTATAAGTCTCTTGTTGCGTTTACTACTCTGCGCCCCGGCCTGCGGCACAGACGAAATTAAACTATAGGTTAAGTCCATCTGCGAACAAGCGCCAAAATCCTTGTTTTACCCCCTTCCCCCACCCTGGTACCAGGATTTAAGTGCGCGCCATGATTGGCCTGTTAAAAAAGCCATTGTAGATTTGCCAATCAGGTTGAAGGGAAATTCGAAATGCACTTCCAGTAATTCGTTGAGTCCGTTGGGGGCCCAGAACAAGGACTTCGGCGATGCTTCGCAGACGTTACTAACAGGAGTTAAATTACGTCTGCGACGCAGGCTAGCGTTTACTGAGTCTTACCATAGGTGATGGTTCTTTGTGTCCCTAAATTAAGAAAAATAATAACAAAATGAGACATCCCGAAAAAAGCAGGCACACAACAGCATGATACACTATTCCTTGTGTGATTGCTCGCTTGATTGGACGACCATTAGAAATAACCGGAGTGGGGGTGAAAAATTTTCGGTGCATGAATTTTTTTTTAAAGCCCGCTTGTCTGCAGGAATTTTTTCTAGGGCATACGACTTATTGTTTTTAGGTATCACCACTTGCAGGAGTTTTTTTTAAGACAAGTTTCCTTTGCAGGAATTTTTTTGGGGAATTGACACTCCACCTCCGGTTTTTTTCAATGATCCGGCCCTAATAGGAAGCATAACTTATTTCTAAAGAGTTAAACTCAAACGCTAAAACAACAATTATGACTTACTGGAGGTGGTCGATAAAAGAGTTTCCAAAAGACAAAGACCTAACTAGGAGGTAAAAAACTGCTAAAAATCTCAAAACTAACCGACTCGCTGCGCGCGACACTAAGGAACCTGTATATAACAGCTACCCAGGAGACTTTTGAAACTGGCTACTTAATACAGATAGCTGTTTATGAAAGAATCTACCTATCTATCTACCTATTTACTTACTTACTTACCTACCTACCTACCTACCTACCTACCTACCTGACTACCTCCTACCTTCCCACCTACACGTTGTCCATTAAAGATATGTTTGCATTTCATTCGTTAACTACCACTTGCGAGGCAATCATAGTCTGCCCCTTTCCATGGCGCAAACTACGACCTATGGCCGCCAACTGTTCAGTCATTTAGCAGCAAACTCAGTTAGAATTTTCCTTCTGACGATATTAGGTCCTCTTCTTTTAGTGATTCGAGAAATAAGATAAGGGGGGTATCACTTTCCTTTATTAATAATTTAGGAATTTGAATACCTATTGTGTGTAAGATACTAACTAACAGCTACACTAAAATGGACGAAATAAGTTTATGTACAGGTATATAGGTAAATACCAACTGAATGGCCAAATATCAATTTTCATAGAGCGTCTTGCAACGACACTTCTTTCAAAAAAAAAAACAACGAGACAATTGACGCCCCGTTAGTCGATCTACATACATTCCATAACGTTGCTAACTTGTAACTGTGAGGTAGTAATAACCTCAACGTTATGTGACGAGAAAAATGACCTTTACTAAGAAAGGAGTCAAGGACCCCTGTTTAACCCCTTTGATCTTTTGTATCAGCTGACTTTATCCCCTGACCTTGATCATGGCTTGTGCTATGTCGCGTCCCTCTATGAAGTCAATGTATTCCTTATATGAACATACGGGACCTACAAGCAACATGCTGTGATGGAATATATAGCCAGAGTATTCCAAAAAAGAGGGCATGCGCCTGGAAGACAAAAAAAAATTAGAACATCACAAAACTTATAACAAAACCGTGATGAATAAACAAAATACCCATAAGAAGCTTCCGATAGTATCGCCGGGACTGGTTACGAATCTTCCCCAGGTCTCCCTCTTTTTCTCCAGGGGACGAGAAGAAAAGAAAGGCCCTGGAAAGGAGGTTCAATCTTCCCTGGATTGAGTTAAGCGATATAACAATAAAAACTACTTACTTAATACGATGTTCTTTTTGCTCTTCTGTAAGTTCATTTTCTTTTCTTCCAAGCCCTGTGAATTAACGTTATTGCAGCATGTTTATGAGGAGAACATATCGAATGAATTTCATGACGAGACTCAGAAGTGGTTAAAGGGATGGTACACTGTGTATACAAAAAGACTGAGGGTCATCCTCGCTCCTATCAAATCGAGCCCGCTACTTGTCACCGCTCCACCAAGTGAGTGGTAGTGACAATTAGTCTTACGGGCGATCCGTGCCTCTTGTTTTCTTGCAATTTTTACACACACGTACAACTTATTGTGGTGCATGTGCTACACTGAAGGGAACTGCAGAATCTTCGGCAAATCTGCTTTTAAGGGAAGAATCAGCGGACAGACTTGGTTAACCGCAGTCGCAACGGCAGTCACACTGATGTCTAAGTAGAATCCACAGGCACCCTTTTGGCGCAACTTGTCTGACTACAGTCAAACCCCGCTTTACGGACACCGGCTTAATACCGTCATCAGCAGTTTGCTTTGTCCCTGGGGGAAAGAAAGCCCTTACATTTTCTCTAAATTCAGAACACCTAATACGGACACTTTCTATGACCCCCTCGGTGTCCTTATTAAAGGGGTTTGACTGTACTTTATCTTGTGCGTGATGCGATTGTTTAACTTTCAGTTAAAACTGAAATGGACTTGATTGAAGCATGCATGTATAAGGGCCTGTTTACATGGAGTGGGGGACGCCGGTCTAGTGGGGTAGGTTTCTTTTGTTTTGTGTCTTCCAGAGCGTGAAAACAAAAGAAACCAACCCCACTAGACCGGGGTCCCCCACTCCATGTAAACAGGCCCTAAAAAGTTTTAAGACGGAATCCATCAGAAAATTGATTAATTTCAATTTTCAGTGGACAAAAACCTTGTACCAGCATAATTTCAATGATATCGCATTCTTTTTTACATTTTTCAAGGGCTATAGATGCAATTAGTTATCTGTAATTACACCAAAGAAAATTTCTCGTGAAGGTCCGAGAAAATAAATGTCAAATTTCACAAAATGACACTTTACATATATAATTTTCAGAATTTTCCTTGTGTTTTCACAATTGTTGTGAAATTTGACATTTACTTTTTCGGGCTCCCATGAGAAATGGTCTTTGGTGTTATTACAGGTAACTAATATTATTTATAGCCCTTGAAAAATGTAAAAAAGAATGCGATATTTTTAAAATTATTCTGGTGCAAGGTTTTTGTCCACTGAAAATTAAAATTACTCGATTTCCTGATGGATTCCTTTTTAAAAAGTCTCAAAAGTTTCCCCTCAGCCTGCGCCGGGTAGCTATCGAGTCCCTGTGGGCAAACCCTAACATAAGGGCGACACTACACACTTTACATTCATACTTCTGTTCTATGGAAACTGTAAAGACCTCGAGTTAGTGTCCTCGTTAGCGAGAGTCCGTAATAGCGAGAGTTTATTTCAGTCAAAAGTCTGTATTCTCGTTTGTTTTTGCCGGGGATTTAGCTGCTGTCCGTATTAGCGGAGTGTCCGTTAGAGCGGGGTGTCCGCAAAGCGCAGAGATGACTGTACTTTTGATACGTTATAAGCCGAGAAAAGACTATCAATAACTGTTGCTGCTACAAATGTCTAAATGCAGAAACTGTTCACCAGTACGATATCTAAAAATACGTGCACTATCACAATTACACCAAGACACCAGGGAACTTACAAAAATGTAACGCAATCTAAGCTTAAGCTTCCGTACTATGTTGCGTTTGATACGTTATAGACGTAATAGCCCTCCAATAAGACACCTCTAATGACCCCGTAACGCAATCTACATTCATGCTTCCGTCCAATCGGTTTTAAATTTTAATACGTTACAACTCACCATCATGTAAACTAAAAGCAACGTATGTAACCTTCTGTGTGATAACCATTAGCCGCCTGGTGGATCAAATAAGAAAAAAAATTATATAAACTACAATGCTTATACCGTAATAAAGCTTACCTACGCCTGTTACGGGGCTTTTCTCCTTCGGAAACATGGTATAGAAAAAATTCATAAGTCGGACTATCAGGTTTCTGGTTTCCTTGTAATACCCATTCAAAATCAAGGAAAATGTAGCAATTCGAAAGGGCGACATGTGGGAAATTTAGGAGCTAATGACAAGTTAAATAGTTTTTGGCGATTTTCCGACCATGCAACCATTATTATATTACAAGATTTTGAATAATTTACGTTCATTTCCCCATGGACTTAAGGGTGTCTCCAAAAATTCGCGCGAGACCCTGATGTTAAGCGCCAAACAGAAGATCGAAGGAACTGGGGAGCCCAGGCGGACAATATAGGCCATGATGCCCACTCGCGTAGCCTATCAGATCTCAGGATTCGCCTCATCTTGCTCCCTGGCGGAGACAGCCATATGACTCTCTCCTCCGCAGCGGCTCCCGCTGGATATCCCAATAAAAACAGCAATAATCGAAATATAGAAAGCGCGCAGCCAACCTCATTCCCAGGGTTCTCTCCTACCCGTCCTTATGGAGCGAGAGAGCGGGTAGGAGAGAGAACATGGGAACGAGGTTGGCGCGCGGCGTGCCCCGCGCGCTTCCTTTTTCTTTCACCCAGCATCCCTGCGACACGAAGGGACCTCTGCGGAGGAGAGAGGCCATGTAATAAAACCAGAAACTCATAGGGGGTTAAAACTAAATACTTGCTATTACCAGGAGCCGATCCGTCGTGCTTTAATTTTCTCGTCAGTCAGACAAGGGATCAGACTAATCATTTCAATTTCCTGAATCCTCCGCTCCAAAGCAATTGACATTCAAAAGTATTAATGACCAACGCCCATGAACGTGCGTCCCATTTTACGTCAATAGGTGGTTTAACACTTTGACCGGCACTCAAGCGAAACGATTTAAAAAGTAATATTAAAAACTTACGGGGGCGAATGAGTTCCGCTCAAAATTCACCGGAGAAATAAGCCATTTCCGAGTTCCAAAAACTCTCACTTTCAAAACGAAGCTAATTGCAAAACCTTTATTGTGAAAATGAGTTTTATTTGCATGAGAATAAAAAAAATAATTTTCATATCAATGGCTTCGCACCAGGAGCCGGCTCCTGCTATTACCAAACCGTTCACTGTTGAGCAAAACCTCCACCGTTATAACGAATTGAAATTGAATCGGGTTACAAAATAAAGTCTGAACTGGAACAATAAAAATTTCAAAAATTCTACTACTCTTACCCTGAGTAATCAAATCGGTTGATTCCATATTCAACAAACATTCGGTAAAGCTGTGCAGCTGATAAACAGATGAACGACACTACAAACACCACCCTGTAAAAAGAGACAATCGGTCGACAGTGTTTTGAGGCTGTCTATATAAACGGCATAATCTATGGCGCACTAAAAATTAAAAAGATCTGTTTCAGTTCCAAAGTGCCAATTCAGCTCTGCAGGTCAAAGTCTGATTCAGCCCCTTCTGAAGCCATTTGAGCGCAATTTAAGGCAAAAGAGCCCCATCAAAAGGCTATTCCAACCCACGCTGGGACCCATTTCAGCCCTTGGATCCAAATCATCCCTGGGTAATTGGACTGCACTGGCCCTGATAAAGGGAGCCAAATGAGACTAAAAACATATAGGGCTGTATTTTATTCACCTAAACGGCCCCATTTTTAGGGCTAAAACAGATCTTTCTGATTTACAGTGTGAGGCCGCCAAAGGTACATAGTTCATAACAGTTCTAAAAGTTTTACATGAAACGTAGTAGCCACAGAGTCCATGACCTTGAAACAATCCTATGAAATGGATTTTTAACATTGCTATAAACTCTGGAGGGTCTTGAATGGGAGAGAAGGTATGTCCCTAAAGTCCAGTTGGAAAAGCTGGACTGGACTATGCACTGGACTGGACTGGACTGGACTGGACTGGACTGCTTCCCTAAACACTGAGTGACCATTATATTCCAAGATGACCACGAGGACGATCATAGACTTAAAGTATTTTTCGCGTAATCGCAAAAAAATGACGCCCCGGAAAGCTTCATTTTACCTCTTTTTTTTGTTCTCACCAAAAAAGTTTGCACGGTTATTTTTATCGAACGAGGTTACGCCCTCTCCCGATTGCAAAATGATAAAACTTACAACATTTGATACCCCGGTAACTTATTTCTGCCACTACGACATTCTCGCTAAAACCCGTAGTAGAATGACCAGGCTATCGCGCTTTTCCACCAAAATGACGCTGGTTCACTCGCGCGCACTACTTAGTCAGTACTATTGAGGAAATCTCCTTCTCGTAGTCGTCCTCGTCTTAGAATCTAAAGGTCTCTAATTATTTTCTCTGCGGCTACTAGCTAGTGTGAAGATATAAAATGGCAGAAACCCGACTTTTTTCATCAGGTGTAACGAAAACGCCTGACTCTCCTTGTATCAAAGTTCCTCCAATGTAACGAACTTGTCACTGATGCGCGCGATAAAAGTTCTACGGTGATTTCAAAAACACTTCTGGTGACGAAAGTTGTAACTAAACATGATGTTTTATTCTCTTAATATTTCCCCATAAGTAGTACTTAACAATTATTCCTCGAACCCGAATGGGCTCTGAGTCAATAGCCCGTGAGGCCGAAGGCCGAATGGGCTATTGACTCGCAGGCCATGAGGGCGAAAGGGATAATTCCTTAGTAAAATCCAACTAGTTGGTCAAAAATATCGAGACAAAACAACTTTAGCTAGTTAAAGCTAGAATTTAACCAGAAGAATGTCTATCGAAAAACTGTCATCGCCACCTTTGTTTATTCAGGAAGTAGTTGTACCTACTTGTGAACGTCTTTTGGATTTACTCTCCATGTAAGGCTGTAACAAAGTGTACTCACAACTATCAGTCTAAGTAATTCGCTGAGGAGAGACAAGAAAAGAAAACCAATGATGCAGATAGATTATGATGAGCAGGGTTTTAGGCATGTTGAATCTATTGTCAGCTTAGCACAGTGATGCAGTAATAAAAGCGGCAACAAAATAAACCAAATCAGCGTTTTCGTTAGTTCGGCGCAAGATTTGCATTACCCCTTCCTGTTTCACGTTCACCGCCCCTCTCCTTAAGATTAATCTTCCAACTCAACTTGGCTACTGGCGACGCTTTTAACAATCCCTCTCCGCCCCTCCCCTTTCTGAAAAGTCTTAGTAAAAAAAAATCGTATTTTTGGCTCACGTTAACCATATGACACAGCGATCTCGTGGGTCGTTGAATACCGTAAATGAGCAAATAGACGCCCACTCGCAAATAAAAAACGCCACTTGTCTAATAAACGCTCCCCCTTACGCCTTTAAGTGTGTGTTAGACACCCCTCTCTAATAAACGCCCCTGTGAGGGTTACTCCAAAATGCTAGAAATTAGCAGAGAGGAGCAAAGTCATTCAATTCATTCAGTTTCTTGGTTAATTGATAAGAGTTTGCGCATTGCATCTCGTTTAACGTCAAGTTCAAAGTAATGATTTTAACAACCAAAGTTAAACACATTGATTTTAACGGCGTAGACGTATCAATGGATGGACTATGGTCTGCTGTTTGGCTTTGGAGGTGGGACGGGAAAAGGCCCTGGCATCGGCCGGTCACATGACCACCAAACACCCAGAATTTGTGGGTGTACTGAATTGGCACACGATCACATACGATAAACAACAGGAAAAAGCGCCCTGGGGACGAGGTTGCTGTTATACACTGTATACTGTGGTGATGTATTCGCCGAATGCATATCAGTTTCGTGGAGTTTGTCACAGTTATGAAAATAAACGCCTCTTATCTATTAAACGCCTCCTCTTGGGCCTCCTCGGTCGTCTATTAAATCATTAACGGTAATGCACTTTTTTCGCAGGATTTGTCCAGTGAAGACAAAGTTTAGTTCCTCGTCCCGGGGGGTTCTGCCTTATGTGGGATATATAGGTACGTGCCGCTGTGAAGTGTATGGTTTTCAAGAAGTTTACTCTGGGATAGGGTATACAAATCAGGGAGTTTGGGTCTAGAATAGGGTATCATTTTCCAGGAAACTGATCAAAATATAAAAAAATCCAATCGACAAGTTTAAATTTACGCGACTCAGTCTAAAAGCTACCCCAGGATAGAAGAGATTTAAGGAGTTAAGTCTAGTATATAGGGTAGCAAAATTGAGCCGAACTAGCTCTGGTATAGCCGGCTAAAAGTTCCAGGGTCCCAGCGGCACAACCCCAACCAAAAATTCCTAAAGTACCCCCCTCCCCCGCGGGTTTGTCCGCTTGGGACGTTATCTCCGGCTGGTTTCTCATAGTACCTTTAGGCCCCGTCGACACGTATCCGGATATTTTTGAATCCGCAATTTTTTCTTTGCGGATTCGGCTTCCGTCCGAAATTTTTGAATAAGCTATGAATCCGGAATCATATGGACGCTAAATCCGGATATATATATTTTTTTATCCGCTGACGTCACAAGATCGAGCTCAGTTCTTTACCATTTTAAAATATACAACAAGACGGTGCCAAGCACCATGTTATCGCTTCTTCTCTTCTTGCACTTCAGTTTCAACTCTTCTAACGTGTGTGCAATTAATTTGTGTTTACTGTACACTTCAATTATGCAAAACGGCGCCTCGACATTTTGAAGCTTCTTTCGAATTGGACGAATTGGACTCCGTAAACAAGTTAAACGAGTGAAATAGTGCTCAGTAGGACAATTTCGTCTGTGAAACAGTCATTGAAGAAGATTGGCGATAAAATTTTCGCATGAGCCGAACATCGATTTACAAATTAGCTGACGAACTCAAAGTGAATCCAGATGCATGTGGACGAGCAAATTCGATTTGAATACGGAAAAGTGTGAACGTGGAATTTTTGAATCCGCAAAGAAAAATTTGCGGATTCCAAAATGTCCTGATACGTGTGGACAAGGCCTGAACCTTGCGTCATAGGTGTAAACAGTAAATTAGGCAAGATGGCCACATCGAAGAGGGGGTGTCAGTAAAACGCGGGTGGTAGTCGGGGCAGGGGCCGGGATCGGAGTCTATCTTTTTTTTTTTTTTAAGAATGCTGACCCTAACCCTAACTCTAACCCTAACCCTAAAACAGCATTCTTTTAAAAAAAAAGATAGACCACGCGTTTTACTGACACCCCTTGCCTTCATAGGAAAAAATTCCCAGAGACAAATTATTTTAAAATGTATTTTACAATGACAAGAAGCAAAGAATCACCTGTGCACTAGCCTGCGTAGCAAGCGTTTCCAATCGAGTTATTGCGCGAAAGTTAGAGCGGGAGCAAAAAAAAAGGTGGAAGGTGGAAGGTGGAGGGGGGGGGGGAAGAAGAGGTTTCCTTCGTTCCCCTCCCCCTCCCTCGTCATTCCTTTTTTTTGCTCCTGTCCCAGCTTTTCTCGATGAACTCGCGCGGAAACGCTTGCTACACAGGCTACCTGTGCACGTTTTAAGAAACTCGACAATACAAATTTGGTAACCTCAAGGCATATTAAAAGGGAAAAGGCCTTACGTCCGGTTGACGCACGTCGCTTAAAACAACAACAACAGCAAAACTTTATTGATAAACAAATAAAATTACAGAAATATTACCCTCAGCTAGCAAGGATATTGGAGGCGGGACCGTATGGGTGCAAAATATAAAAATAAAGACTAAGGCTATTAACTAAGGAAAGTTTACAGTTTAGAAATAAATGAAATAAAAATCGTAATATGGACGAGGACTAGATAACAGACTAAAGAAAAAAAAAATTAAACAAATAAATTTAAAAGTAGAAACTAATAAGCAAGAATTTATTTTTCGGCATGTTTGGCTAATTGAACCTTTTCAATTAGGGTGGGCGTTTCAATACAGTCATCTCCTGAATGCAGAATATCAAAAAGTAATTTGCGGAGTGTTTTTTTGAACTTATTCTTGGGGAGATGTTGGATGTCACAGGGTATCTCATTCCACAGCTTAGCATCAAAGCGAGAAAAAATTTGCGGTTCCATCACTTGTACCCAATCGTTCCTCACTAATTAATGATTAGTTGAACTTGGAAGTGGCGCAAGAGTGTCACGCAGGGATAACTTTTCTCAAAACAACAGACAAAAGTCTGTTAAACTTGCTATAAAACGGCTATCGATATTTACGCTACTGTATTAAAAAAAAACTACCAAATTAACGTTAAAGAAACAATCTGGAGGCCAGTTGATTATTGTCGAGACGTCAGTATAATTACCACCGGGGTTCCGTGAGTGTCACGGCGAAAGTTCGAGGTAATTTATGCAACAAGTGAAGCGAACAGTAGATGGCTCATTAAAAAATAATTTATTTAAGAGTGAAGTAAACAGAGATTCTTACCTTCCAAAACAGATCCATCCAATTATTAGACCCCATGTCAGAGAGACAAGCAACCGAACTTCAGGAGAAACTCTTCTCGGGTGCAATAGTGTTCGGTAAACAGCCCCAAGAGGAAAATTTAATAACATACAAAAAATGAATTGCACCTGAAAAGACATCATAAGAATAATTATTTTAGTGGTGATCTTGAATATTCTTCAGGATGCCGATTTGAGGCAATGTTTAGGATTCTCGTATCAGATTTCGTCCAGTAAGGAAGACAGTGTGGAAGAAGACAGTCAACATCAACGAAACAAGCCTTACATTTTCCAAAAGTAAATGTTTTTAAATGAGAGACATTTGGAATCAATGGATCAATAAAAGTCGTACACTACGACTAGCTTTATAGGCGGAATAAAAGAACGTATCAGTTGGTTTTAAATTTCCTAATTTAAGGTTTAACATTACAAAAATAGTCGAGTCTTTTCGACTGCACAGATGTCGTGACGGTCGATCATCGACGGACAAATTAAGCCATCGACCTTGCACGGCATCCTTTGTAAATATACTGAAGTGCGACCATTAAGGAGAAGACAAATATTAATGACCTTCGCTGGTTACCTGCTCTATGGGAAGCTTTGTTTGTTCAGAAGCCCATAGGAGAAACTCCCGTAGAAGATAAAACATATTTTTGACTTCCAGTGCAGTAAAATTGCACTCGATCCGCGACACGTACGCCCACACTCAGTGCAGACTAGACACTTGAATACACGCGTCAGTGACTAGGTTTATAATAATATATGATAATCTATTCTGCCCAAAAGAGCATCGAGAAACGTAAACCGGCTTTCTACCATTTGACAGTTTTATGGAGGACTCATCAAGGACTGCGTAAATGCAAATTTGTGAAAAATGGGGAAAACAACAATAGCAAAGCTAAACTAGTTCAGGCTTCTTTTACTTCCAGGGGTTTGCTTACATTTTAAATTAATCGCCCTCCGGGGGATCGCACTGCTGGTCCTGAATCAACCAACTGTGACCAAAATAATAATACAGGCTTAATTCAAGTGACCAATATTGCTTTCAAGGAAATTTATGATCACGTCAGTGTAAATAATTTATTGACGTGTAAAGGCCGTTCCTATCCAAAAAAAATTGCACAGGTTACAGGCGCCCGACAGAAAAATGTTTCTTTTTATCGTTTGTTTGTTTCATAAATATCCCTTAATTACAGCTTTCCGGGTCTTTCTTTTTTTAGGGGCCGTCCACATATTTACTTTTTCCCCCCTTAACGTCAACTGGACGTTTAGGTCAGACCCCCCATCCCCCTCCTAAACGTCCACTTGAAATTTTGCTGCCCCAAAAGTTACTGCATTCCCGAAGGAATACTGACATGCACTTTACATATTTATTATTCATCTTCACTCAGTAGAGTACAAATATTTCAGACAAATATTTCACGGTATTTGTACTCCAGGGCCGGGTTATTCAAAGCTAGGTTAAGATAACGCACGGTTCGTGCGAAATTTGAATTCAGATAGGAAGGCTTAAAAAAGTAAATTCAATTTAATTCTTTTTGACTAAAAGATGGTAATTGGATGCTCTTAAAACTAACGCAGAAAATTATCCGAGAAAATGCGTTTCAAAGAAACAAAAAGAAACCCGGGTTAAATTTAACCCTGGGTTTCGGCCTTCGCACAACTGGGCCCAGAAGACTGGTTTGATTGGTTTTATTCTACAAACGTCGAACATGCCAGAAAATGAACCGTTTTCCGAAGAAAAAAAAACGGAAAAGGAGACAAATTGTAAGCTTAAGTAAAACCGAGTTTCTAGAGTAAAGTCAACCGGAACAACAATGAAATGTGGACATTCATAAAAATAGATGGAACATACAAACTTTATAAGTTCAAGATAAAATAGAAAAGATAAAACAAACCTGATGAAGATGTGTGGTGAAGACGGTCGGTGATGGTGAAAATCCGTGAAAGAAGCAACGTCCATTAATTAAAATCCCCGACGAGGAACTTAGCAGTCTTCACCTCCAGTACTTTTAAAATGTGAGGAAACTCAACATGGTAGACTTGTCAGTAAGTAAGCTTATTTAAACCCGGGGAAGATGAGGTTTCAGGCCAGGTTTGTTTGCGAGTTGCTCTTCGAAAGTCCTTGACTGTATAGTTACGTGGGAGAGTTTTCATCTTGCCATAGCAGAAGATTTGCTCTGCTCAGTTTTCCTACTTGCAGTCCGTTTTACGCAACCGAAAGACCATCACATTTGATCTCTGCTTAACTAGCAAATGTTTAAAAAATTGAACCGCCAAGCGCCGAAGAAACTTGAAAAAATTTTACCGAGTAAACAACTTGATAAGTTTTCATTTTTGACCAATCAGGAACAGCGTTGATGAAAGCGCGCGAAAACTCACCCCCTGCTTTGCCCCCTGCTCCCGCCTTCCGCCGCGCGCGTTACGCGAAGACGACTGGGAACGAGTCAGGGTCTGTTGCCTTCGGCCCAACTTCGGCCTCGATGGATAACACCCTCCACGATCTGCATAATTCTTCACATCCTACTCGGCAGCCTCATTCAATAACTGCTAAATATGCCTATCGTTTTGCCATTTAATAGACCGGTGTTTTGTTTAGTGGAAAAACCTTGGTAAAGATACCCCGATATCGGTGTACGGGTACGGGTAGTGTGCCCGTACACGTAAAATGTTCATGTGCGTGACTATTTCGATTAAGATACCCGAAGAACAAGCACGCAAAATTAACTTTGTACATGCATGTCGCTTAATGCATACAAAATCTCCCTCAAATCTTAACAACAAGCTGCAACAAATAATTCATTCATACATAAGCTTATTGAAATATCATAGAAAGATTTTAAGAAACTTGGCGGGAAGTCCCTCGACCGAAAGCTTGTTATCGCAAACCCCGCCATTTGATCGAGGCACATCACCAAACAATTCCTTTGATTGTCAACTTCAACAGTGACTCCCATGCTAAATTTTTCAATGCTATTTCTTTTGCGAAACTCAAACGTTCGAGCAATTCTCAGAAATCCCCCCAAATACCGCCACAAATTGAAATCGTTTCAGAGTTCAACCTGCACATTTGAGGTCCAAAATCAATAAATTTTGAAGCGCTTTCTTTACAGCTAAAATTCAAATTTGGCAAAAATATTTGAACAGACTTGCAATAACATTGCCAAGGAGTCATACAATTTACATTTGTACTTAAAAAGTCTTAAAAACTTACTCGTTTCTCCATCATGTAGGACTTGCAGCTACTCGTAAATCGTCTACGAGTAAACTGGTGTCTACCCCGGAAAAACGGCTGCTTCTACCGGGTAAGGTCGATGACGTCACCACAAAATGAAAAAAACATGGCGCTACCCGTTACCCGTACACCGATTTCGGGGTATCTTAAGGTCTCTACTGTATATAGTTACGGATCCGAGAAGAAGCGGTGACCGTTTTGCGATTACATGACCGCGAATCACTTGCCCAGTACCAGTCTTTGAACTTCAGTAAAAACCCACCAATCTTTCAAAAGAACAAGCCAAAATTTTACAAAAGACAATCGCGAAAGTCATAAACGTAACTACACCTGAATGCCAGAAACACGAGTTAATGTCAGACAGACTGGAGACCATGAAAAACAAGGAATTTCTTGTTTGTTTTCTTTTTACCAAATGGTCAGTTGTGACTTTAACACGTCACAAAGGCTTCCTGATAAAATTCAGAAAATTCAGTTTGTTTCACCAAATAAACGCCATGGTAACCTGAAATCAGGCGCAAAGAAAAGGACCCCCTGATCAAAGGTTAACGCCAAGGACCATCAATCATGAATCTAAACGTCATTGACTTACTAACTTAATTAGTAGAATCGCCCACTCGTGTTTTTATTTTATATTTACGATACAATGCGGTATAGTAGAATAGCAAACCATGACAAATCAAAATATCGTGATATAAATTCCTAGTCAGTCTTAATCATATATCTTATATTGCTCTAACTGAGATGCTCTTAAATATTTGTACATACACGTCATTGCAATAACGTTGTCTCGAGAAAATTGTTAAAAGGAAAAACAAAAACAGCAAAAGAGGAATTAATTAGGCTTTCTAATAATCCACTCTAGGATGGAATCATTTTGCAACATAGGCAGGGCCGGTATGGCGTACCATGGGGGCCAAAATTCAAAATTGAGATTTGACATTGTACTTTCAGTATTCTTTCTTATTTTGCGATTGTACATTCAAGTTTTCATTCGCTATGAATCTCTTTCCGATTCAATATTGTCATTTTGTAATTAAACTTCTAAGTTTCAAGTATTAAACATTATACTTCACGTAATTCAACATGCAATTTGCTTCTTTTCGATATCCAACCGCAACCCAATGTAATGAGGACATCGAGTCCTCAACAAACTAATTTCGCAATTCAACTTTGTAGTTGTGGCAATGCAATATTTTAAGCTTAGTTTTTCTATTGAACGTTTTGATATTCAACATGTTGCACTTCTTTGCCATCCAACCACCACCTTTCTCTTTTACGCTCAAAGCTCTCGCTATTCAACATTCAACTTTCTATCATCCAACCGCAATCCAGTCATTAACGAAGGAGCGCAGGCTCACTAAACTCGCTCACGTGAACGAAACAGTCAAGTACTTCATGTAAGCCTCATGACCTTACCTGAAGTACCTCACTCTGGGATTAAAAATGGACGATATCTCATATTTGTTAGACTGTGTTCATAATATCCTCGACATTTTAAATAGAGTTCAAGGCGTACAAAATGGCCATGGAGATTTTCAGCTTCTTGTTTGTAAAGTAGATTTTCTGCAGAGGATGTTGGTAAATCTAGACATCGATGATTTCATAACAGAAACAATCGGAAGAGCTCATAGTTTGCTGGTAGAGATCGAAAGAACTGAGAATTCTTATGGAGGTTATAGCGCTAGCGTGCAACAAGATGGTAGATGTGGAAGACCCTCGTACGTGATAAGCAAGGAACAGCTCTCATATTTAATTGAACAAGGTTTTACATTGCAAGAGATTGCTAATATGCTTGATGTAAGTTGCAGAACAGTTAAGAGAAGAATGATGTCATATGGACTCAGTGTGTCAGGTACATACTATTATTTATGATAAACCATGGCAATTACATTATACATGTATTTGTCTTCATATCAAGCGATTATTCCACAATAGCAGTGAAATCCCCTTTCTGTCCAGTGGTCTTTATAGGACCATGGATAATAAAGTGTTTTTTTAATAACCCCATACATTTATTATGCATGCAGCAGTCTCGTACTACTTCATACAACAAGTTTATAACAATATAGTTAAAACATGCGTGCACAATAAATGTGTTGGTTTATACGGAAATCTTACTTATACTGTCTGATCATGCTAGGGACATACAGTACCATTGACGACAATCAGCTTGATGAACTTACTAGACAAGCACAAACACAAACAAGAGTACATTCTAACATTTTGATCTAGGCTTGATAGAAAAAATCCCTGTTCTAATCACATTTTGCTTCTGGTTATTTGACAATGATAACAGTGATAATAATGATTAAATAATTATAAAATGCCAAAAATTGCATTCACTATAACCCTACCATGAAAGTTGTAGCTTGTGTCCCTGTTACAAACTACTGTTTGCACAGAACCAACTTCTACATTTTCTTGTTTTGAAGGTGGAGAATAGTAGTACATGGTGGAATAGATGGCTATTCCAGAGTACCAGTTTACCTCAAAGCCTCAAGTAACAATAGAGCAGACACTGTTTTGGCTCTTTTTCGCAATGCAGTTGCAGAGTTTGGCCTGCCATCACGTGTGAGATCAGACAAGGGTGGTGAAAATGTTGATGTTTCGACATACATGCTAAGTCATGTTCAGCGAGGACCAGGAAGGGGTAGCATGTTAACAGGTACTTTCCCGTGGGGTTGTTTTTCTAACAAAGTATTTCTACTTTGATTTCATAACACTAGGGTATAATAACAAGTACCTTTTTTATTCTGTTTGTGAACCTGTAGGTAAAAGTACTCACAACCAACGAATTGAGCGACTTTGGCGGGATGTGTTTGCAGGATGTCTCTCCCTGTTTTATGACCTTTTTTATGACTTGGAAAGACAGAATATCTTACACCCAGACAATGAGGGCCATTTATGGTGTTTGCATTATGTTTTCTTGCCCATAATTAACAAACACCTGACTAACCGGAAAAATGCTTGGGTCTATCATCCAATGAGGACAGAGAGAAATAAGTCTCCTATGCAACTATGGATCAGAGGCTTGCAGGAAGCATGGGGGTCACAGTCCTTGGAAGATGAGGTTTTTCAGGTACCGTATGAAGCTAATACACCTTTTTACCGATACGGCAGCTATATTGAATTAATTCGATTTAAGGATTATTATAGGATGCCCAGGAGGCATAACCACATTTCGTTTGTATCTTTGAGCACTTTTCGGGACATTTTTTCTTAGAATAAGATTGTAATGGGAAAAAAGATCTTTGTGCAGTGTTTTGATGTCATAATGATCGCCGTTTTCCCGAGAAATATACAGTGAAAGACCATATTTCTAATACTAAACTAGAAAAAGGCGATCATTATTACATCCAAACACGGCACAAGGATCTTTTTTCCCATTACAATCTTATTCTAAGAAAACTTTAAGAAAAAATGTCCTGAAAAGCACTCAAAAATACAAACGAAATGTGCTTATGCCCCCTGGGCATCCTATAATACTCCTTAAATCCAGTTAATTCAATATGGCCGCCGTAGCGGTAAAAAGGTCTATTCTTGTACTAGCTCATATCTGAAGGGGGGGTTGGGGATGACTCCCAGGTAAGTATGTTTGTCATAAAATTATTGCTTAGGGGCAAATATCAGCAATGTGGTATCTTTTTGTATGGTACAATTTAAGTTTATACTTTCAGAAATTCCTAATATCTTTAGCATATTGAAAAAACAAGAGTCTACTACTGTTTTTCAAGTTTTAGATTAGGCACTCCTTTATATCTTGTCCAACCACACCCTTTTTAGAAGACTTTAGTAACTGTTGGGGGTATTATTATTTGAAAATATCTGACAAGCATACCACATACTTTTACCTCCTCCCCATGCAATGTGTATATATTACAACATGTATCATACTTTGCCAGTAATTAGTATTGTCTTCATGAGCTTTCACACATATTGCTTTCATTTAAGTCAAGGAGATTCAAAAGATTATAAGTGCATAAAGGGAAATGTCAGACAGTGAGCAAACTTCAGTACCATGAATGTATACAATTTTTTTTGTCTGTAGAATGAGGGTAATGACTATGGAATTGATTGGAGTGGACCCATCCCTCAAACAGATGCTAGTTTGTATGAAATGGTTGAGGTCCCAGACACAGCATGTCCTTTGACTCTTGAACAGATGGATTTATTGCCAACAACAGAAAACATGAACTATTTAGATGGCGTAGAAACTCTTCAACAAATCCTCAACATTTTTTAATTTCTGGAAACTCAGCTGTTGAAAACAGGTACAACTATGCCGCTATATAAAATAAGAAAAACATGTGAGGCATAAATACTTTAATGCCTGAAAGACTTCACTGTTGTCTTTTTATCAAAAAGTAAAACCACATTTTGGTTGTCCATGGCCACTACCAAATGCCTAAGTGAATATTCATCTTAGAAAAATCAACTGAAAGTATAACATGAGGATAGTTTTTGCCAAAGTGAACACTGCAATAGGTGCATTAATGAAATGCAAATCCTGATGCACCATATGTCAGTGCAATGTCCATGTTTCATTTGAACTCCATATACTGCTCATGTTTGGTAGGTAGAGTAATAGACCTAAAACAGGTCTCAGACATGGGCAAGTTGTTTTCACCTTGGTCAAACTTTATGAGAAGGCATCCACTGCTTGTCTTAAATGCACTTTCCCCAGTCCAAAACGTCAGCAATGTTCTTAGCTTCGAACCTCCTACAATTCATAAATTACAGTGTAAACATTACAATAGTATATTTACATAGTATTGTTTGCTGTAAATGAATTGATAGAAATATGTCATCCTTTTATGTCTGGGCTTCATTGTTCCTTATTGTGGGGAAAGTCAATAATGAATTAGGGTACCCTTAATAATGTCGAAAATCCTATTGGATTAATACATAGCATTTGAATTGTTTCAATCATAATTTCTCTATATGGGACTTAAGCTGCATCCCTCTGAATTATTTTGTTATAAATAGTATGTTATCTGTGAAACTTGGTTGATGGGATCATTTTTCTCCCTTTTAACAGCAGGATTCCACCCATCATCCATATTCTCCCCTTGCTTTACCTTCAACACCATCAACATCATCAATGTAGGTTTTAAAGAATTCAACAGTTCGTTGTTGTTCTTCATTTAAATTGTCCTCAAAAGAAAATGAATCTTTTATTTCCTTTCCACTGACAACACGTTCTGCATCAGTTGGGAAAACATGGAGCACCAGTTTTGGGTACTTCTTAAGAAAGCTGTGCAGCTTTACTTCTTCCATCCCTTAATCAGGCAAAAGTAAAAACAGTTAAAAATACATAACTAGCAGTTTCCAGTAGAAAGAGCAATTATTATGCAAGCTCTGATACTAATGATTTTCCATCTTCTTTTTTTTTATTAATTAGGATTCCTGTTTATGAAGAAATCACTGCGGTGCAAACAAAAAGGAATTTTGTTGATATTCCTGATAGCTTGTGTCAAATACTGTCAGTAACATACCTCCTCTTCTCCCTCCCTCCCCTCCCAAAAAAAATGGTTATTGTAAAATGAAATAAAGCAATGTGCTTGACAATCACAAACTTGTCTTGCCTGTGCAAGTGCAGAATGTTGCGCGAGCAAGACTCATTTGTTATTTTCATGACATGTTCTGGTTATTTGAGGACAATATTGTTACTCACCTTGTGTATTGCATATTTAGAAAATCATCGCCCACTAGCCCATGATAATTTATGCAAAAGCTGAAAAATTGTCATGACTTCTCTGACTATTGATACTAGTCCTCAGCACCTACATGGCCAACTGCACACGGAAAGTCTGTCAAGATTAGTGTTGCTGCGAGCATGCTAGCTAATTTAAACATTTGACTAGGATAGGAAAATAGAAAAGATCATAATCTTATTGTTACCTTTAATGATGTCATCCAATACAAGACGACGTTTATCTATTACGTGGAAAGTCATAAGACTCTCTACAACAAGTTTTCTGTTTTGGCTGAATGATAGCTGGTCCGGATCAAGACCTGCTTCTAGCATGTACGGGTCTAGGGCAGTTTTAAGATCTGCACTGGGTTTCTCATCTATAGGCAGCATATCAAGCTACATAAGAGCAAACACACTGACATCAATCTAAAGTTCCAAACAAAAGTTCAAAGTATATCATCCTAATAAGGTACTAAGCTGATAAAATCCTCTCAATGAGCAAGGGAGAGCCAGAACCTTGAACACTCCAGGCAAATGTTATAGAATCAGCCAGGATGCTTATTTAGGGACAAAAGATCTATGTGAATAGCAAGAGGTTCAACTTGACCTTCCAATACCATTTTATAGATGTTCTTCCTTTAGTGACACACTCGGTCTTTGCACAAATTGTTGTACAGTAATTTAATATTACTATCTTTAATGTTCAATGCTAGGAACCCAAAAATACAGTCTAAATATTGTTCATTTTTTTAACATAACCATTAAAACCTGATTAAGTCAAAAGACACATTATGTAAATTACATGGTAACTTATCCTCATCTTCCAAAAAGTAAAACGCAAACTCACGATAACTCAAACCTCTTTTACATTACCCTTGGAGGGTTGAGTTATCAGTATTCAACTGTATGGTAGTAAGGTTAGCACTGTCTTTTCTACATACCTCAGTAACAATTTGCCGCAACTCAATGTCAGGGATGTCTTCCACTTTTAGTGTTGGAGGGTTGTCACTATCAGCATCAGTTGAGAGGTAATTCTTGACTGCAGGTGAAAGCCCATGCAACCCTGAACCTCCATGGAGAATGGAGTGCCCTATTATCCTCCCCATTGCTTTGTATGCCCCTGTAAGTCTCAGTGAATGATCATGTGTGGGAATGCGATGATTGCTCTGCCCCTCCAAAAACAGAAGAGGCTTTCCTGTACTTGATGGTATTCCCTCATCAAGAACTCTGATGGTTTCAACAAAATATTCCCTTAGAGGACCACTGCCCACTCCTTCTTCTTCCTCAAATCGGATTTTGGGGTAACTTTAAAATTTGTATTCGGATTTTTATAAATCCCCATAATTTCTTTCCTTAGCTCCATCACTCCATCCACTCTACAGACAGAAATTCTTTGTTTAAATGGGGCATCTTGGATGACGGATGTTTTGAAAAGTTGCAGTGCTGTTTCAGGGCATTTTTCACTCTCATTCAATTCCACACCAAGTACAGGTGTGAGGTCGCTTTCATCATCATTGACATCATCTTGATCATCAAAAATGGTGTCTGGTAAGGATGACAAACCTGAGATACATAAGACAATGCCTAAGTATTAGTATGTGGCTCACATTTCTAAACATGAAAGTTGAATACCCCATACATTTTTTATGTTTGAAAAGAAAGGAGACAATTACGATTTGGTATTGTAAGTGGAGCCTCGTTAGACATGTATGAACATTGTGCATGTTGTTCTTGCCCTGTTTAAGGGAATTCTTCGTAAATAATTTACACATTATCTATAGGCACATCGTCCCAACCCCCCTCACCTGAATTAACTTGGATCCTTTGTATATACTTTATTACTGGAACTTTTTTTAATGTAAAGTAAAAGAAAAGAAAATAACCTAATAATCTTCCAACAGCATCATTAACATTTCCATTGGAGGCATCCAAAGCACCTTGAATTTCAAGATCTGATGCATCTGGGCATATTTCTTTGAGTTGTTGCAACCCAGGTTTAACAGGTTCCAGACTACTACTGAAAAAAATGAAAAAAACAACATGTTTCCTCATATCAAAGAAATGAATTTACCATCAATTTCTTTACAATGATGTCACTACATACCACTGACTAGATACACTGGCCGTTAAGTCCTGGGTAGGGAGATTATTTGTACTGCAAGCCATGGAATCCAAAGTCTTCTGTTTCTGGAATATATTGCAAAACAAGAAAATTCATAAATAGTGGCTATCGCCACTAACATTGTTCATTGCAAACAGTGGAGCATTGGAGTTCTAACAAGATCAATACCAGGTATTACGACAAACAGTACAGCTATGCTCAGGGTATGTGACATACCTTTGCTGCAGGCACACCATTACTTGCAGGTGAATGGGATTCTTGGTGTTGAGTTATTTCATCCATACGAATGACTTGCCCACAAACAAAGCAATCCACTTTTGGTACGTGTATATCTGGATCAGCTATTTCCTGCGTGTTAAAGTTTATTGTCTTAAAAAGCAATAGATGCATGCAGAAACAAATTTAATCTTTGAACAACAACATATTTATAATAAACTTGCTCAGAAGGAGGGTGAAATTTAAAGGAAACCACTTGTTGTGTTGGTTTTTTTTTGGTACAAGTTTAAAAAAAAGCATGCTTACTTGATAGATATTTACATAAACTCATTAATAAATTAAAGTAAATAAGTATAATATCTATAAGTATCACCCAACTAGTAGACTACTGCAAATCCTGCATTTTGATTGGCTATGCTGCTAGGGTCTTTTTATAGTCCCCTAGCAGCAAAAAACGCTAGTTTTCTGTCTCAAATAACTATTTTTTCAACTGGTATTTCTTAACATCTTAATTTCCTCCTTTGTCCTACTAGTTGTGTGATACTAAAAAAAGGCCCATGGGTCAATTGCCCATTCGGCTTCGCCTCATGGGCTATTGACGCATAGCCCCTTCAGGCTCCGGGTCTAATTGTTAAGTAATCAAATTTTATAAAATTGAACACAAAATACTTAGTTAATATTTACCAATTGAAGTGATGGCACCCCTATTGGCAGAGCGATGACCTCCTCTGGAGCAGGATCAATATCTCTTTGTATTGGTCGGATGTAGATTTTTGCTTGACCTGCCAGTTGTTTTAGTCTGGTCGCTACATGAGGGGGATTGATGACGTGAAACCCAGCATCCTCTCCCCCACCTCTCTGAAAAAGGCAAATTTCAAACCCCCCCGCCTTGCTCAATGCTGGGAAGTTTTCCAAAATTTTGCTGTAAACATGCTCCTGGGCCGGGAAGGTAATTGAGCTGTCGCCCAGCCCAATGTTTGAGAGGTAGGTCCTCTCTCTTACAGAAGATGGAGGGCTTTGTGCGTTCTTCGAGGACAAACACACGACTTTTAGAGTGCACGTTGATTCCTTCTTTGCTTTTGTGCCTTTGCCCTTCTTGCTTGTCCGATTTGGACCGCTAGACGAGTAACCAAAGAGCCTCCGTTGTTCCGCAACAACAGATGTGCTCGTAGAGGCTTCTGAACTACCTGAGAATTAATAAATATCTACCGTTAACAAAAGTTTTAGTTTTTATCGGATATACATGGAGCTCACTCAAAATGCATGACAAATTTTATTACCTCTAAATTATTCCACACACGTAATCTTAACAGCTACTTACCTTGTGGACTTGCTTTTTGAAGAGCAGAAAGTCGATCAGCGACTTTCAAAAGAGCAGACCGCACTTCGTTCAATTGATCACTCATAATTTCAGCCACACGGACAGCTTCACGAACAGCTAAACGGACAGATGACTCGAACAGCGAAAGAAAACCAAAGCTTGACAAAACAATGACAAGACGACAAAAATTTCGCGGGCTTTACTCACGTGAGCGAGTTTAGTGAGCCTGCGCTCCTTCGTTAATGACTGGATTGCGGTTGGATGATAGAAAGTTGAATGTTGAATAGCGAGAGCTTTGAGCGTAAAAGAGAAAGGTGGTGGTTGGATGGAAAAGAAGTACAACATGTTGAATATCAAAACGTTCAATAGAAAAACTAAGCTTAAAATATTGCATTGCCACAACTACAAAGTTGAATTGCGAAATTAGTTTGTTGAGGACTCGATGTCCTCATTACATTGGGTTGCGGTTGGATATCGAAAAGAAGCAAATTGCATGTTGAATTACGTGAAGTATAATGTTTAATACTTGAAACTTAGAAGTTTAATTACAAAATGACAATATTGAATCGGAAAAAGATTCATAGCGAATGAAAACTTGAATGTACAATCGCAAAATAAGAAAGAATACTGAAAGTACAATGTCAAATCTCAATTTTGAATTTTGGCCCCCATGGCACGCCATAGGGCCGTAGCCAGGAAGAACTACAACCGAGGCGAACACACGGTCCGTTGTACGAAATCAGCCGTATGAAATCTTCTAATATTATCAGTCTGATAAAAAAAATAAAAATCGACAGTATTTGGTAAAATTTTACCGAGGCGAGTGCCTCGGTTCGCCTCATACTGGCTACGGCGGTGATAGGGGTTTTCAAGCGTATAAACTAATGCAAATACAACTGCTGTACGCGTATGTTGCAAATTGATGAACCCTCTGGCGGTTTTTAGTGAGCCTAATTAATTTTGCATTTTCCTTTTCTTCTATTTTGCATTTTCCTGACAACATTATTGCAATTGGGTGTATCTCCAACATCTAAAACGTTCTTTTCTACGATGTTGTCATTCCACCACAACTACCAGAATCATCAGGCGCCGATCTAGGTTAAATACTGATCGATTTCCTAAAAGAGCGCCAAAGTCTCTAGGGGGGTCCGGGGGCATGCATCCCAGGGAAAATTTTTGGATTTTAACTCCCTAAAGTCTCCTTTCCTGGGTTTCTGAGTCATTCGGACAGGATATTAGACACTGAGTTCCACTCTCCTCGGATGAAGCCTTACCAATCAGTGATTATTATTATTATTTCTAATGCCCAGAAATTGGGAAAAAATTATCCAAACCATTTTCCAGAACACCCATATTTTTCATAAAAAATCTAACCGATTTCCGTAAAGGTCGGTACACACTAGGCGACAAGTTGCAGCAACACGGTGAGGCGACACGTCGCAGCGACAAATCGCTTCGTGTGTACTGGAGAATTTTGAGAAAATGTTTGTCGCTGCAACAGAATTTTGTCGCCGCAACAAGTCGCACAGATTCAGTCTGATTGGATTTTTTACGACTTGTTGCAGCGACAAAATTCCGTTGCGGAGACAAAGATTTTCACAAAGATTCTCCAGTACACACTTAGCGATTTGTCGCTGCGACGTGTCGCCTCACCGTGTTACTGCAACTTGTTGCCCGATCTGTTCACATGGAGTGATCTGTCGCTGCGACGTGTTGCTGCAACTTGTCGCCTAGTGTGTACCGACCTTAAAACGGTGTGGATCCGCGCCTGATCTTTCGGTTTGTTATTTTCTGCAACAAATTAAGGCTATTTTTTTTTTTCAAGAAACAAAAACAAATTTAGTGGGTTTGATGATTTCGATAAGAAAACTAAAGCAAAGGTTCGCCCTGTTGTTAATTTTTTTTTTCTAACAGGGCAGGTAGTTCCTGTTTTATCAAGTCCAAATTTCTTGCTTGTTTCAAGTTTTACATCATTCAGGGGCACCCAACGAGAATGTAGTTCAAAACCACTTAAACATAGCATAGTTAAACATATTTTAGTATTTAAAAGGTAGATATAGGCATATTTTTATCCCCTAAAACTTTGTCATCTGTTCGGATTTCCTAGCTGAAAGTCTAGTGATCCGAAAATTATAGGAATCAAAACTTACCTTTTCGAAAATTTCAGCCAGAAAAGAGGCTCCCGAAAATTCTAGGTGACCTTTTTCGGGTAAAAATCTGTTAAAAATAGGCAATTATACCATTTTTTAGAAGTTCCAAAATCCCAGCCGGGAGAGGCAGGCAAGCAAGAAATTTTACAACAAATGTTCCGAAAATTCTAGATCTCAAATCGGCTTCCGAACAGATATTTTCCGAGAATTGACGTTGGATGCCCCTGATCATTAACTAGATAGTACAGTATCAAGATTGCTCTCGAGCGTCTTTCTTTTTCAGCAGTTGGACTGTATTATACTTGACAGGGGAGGCCACCAATATTTTTATCTTTTAAAACACTCGATGTCTATAGTAGATTATTAACCCTGCAGGAAAACCCCAATTATAATTTCTAGCAGTATCGTTGCTTAATTAATCTATTTAAAAAGTAGTATGGCATTGATATTCTCCATATTATTACAAACTCTCCCACTACTAGGGATAGCAACTGGAGAGGAGATAAAAATAAAGGGATCATTTTACGTTTCTGTGAAACTGCCCACCTACCCCTCCCCTAAACCAACATTAACACTTAGTTCTTACTTAGGGCAAAATGTTGGCTTAGGGGAGGGGTAGGTGGGCAGTTTCCCAGAAACGTAAAATGATCCAACTAAAGTTAGTCGAAGGGTCAAAGGTAAATAGGTTTCCTCCGCAGCGCCTTGGTTCTTCCGATAAGTCCATCTTTCATACGAGTAAACGACGACGTAGACCTCGATCGTTCGTTTGACGATGATGCTCTATTGAGCTTCTCCGTCGACTGATCATGATTCCGACGTCTGTCAAGCGAAAACGGTCCCTTCTTCGGCTTCTCTTCGCAAACCGTTTGTTCCGTTCGGATCCAGTAATTCGGTAGAGGTCGCAACTTGTCGACCGGAAGGGGTCTCATCCATTCGCTAGCCGAAGATCCTTTCACCTTATGAACCGTAAACGGTATTTTAGGTTTTTCATCGTTAGAGATTACGGGCGATTTGTCGGTAGATGAGGTGACTTTCTGTCTGTCCCTCGATTGAGAAGCATTTTTTATCTTTTCCACATGGAAAGGGCGATTTTTACTTGAGTCGTTGTTAATAGCTTTGGATGGAGTAACCAAGTCTTTACCTCCATTTTCGCTTTGTTTACCATAAACTCCCAGAGCGTTGTTATTATTAGCTTTGTCATCATAGCCATCTCCTTCTTCTTTCAGTCTCATTCGCTGGCGGATTTCAAAAGTTGTGACCACTGTTTTCAAATTGTCCTGGGAATTTCGGCCTGAACGTTTCCTTTTCTCAAAGGATGGCGTCCTTTTAACAAACGATGGAACTTTCAGATTTCCAGTTTCTCTCATTTTTTCTCGATGGCGGATGAAATTCAACAATGAAGTTTTCACAACCTCTCTCACTCGTTTGCAATCTTCTGAGGTGGAAACTTCGTAAAAGTTGCAATTCAATTCCGTTGCCAGCTCACATCCCTCATCAGACGTCACTCGCCGCAAGTGATCTAAGTCGCACTTGTTTGCTACGATCACCATGTCAACGGTCTCTCTATGGAGACTGTCTTTTATGAACCGTCCAATGCGTTCTGCTTCCTCAAAACTTGAACGATCGGTGATGGAATACACAATGAAGAACATGTCTCCTTGACGACAGATCAGGCTTAGCTTCTCTGCTGTATTCTGAGAATCAAAAACGTAAGAGAGGTTTCTGTCAACTAAATCGCACCCACGACCAAGTCATTAAAGCTATTTAGAATCATATTTATACACAAAGCAAACGCCAGATTTTAGCGGGACTACAATTTCTCAGAAATGAGCGATAAAAACTACCCGAAATAATTCTTGTAGAGGAAACTCACATGAAGGCACCTATTTTCGTGTAGATGTGATATCGAGGCATATTTCTTGGCCGGTCTCGGAAAGTTGCTTGTCTAAGTTTGGTAATGCCATGGCCGCCAACTTTGATTTTATCGGTGAGGACGATTGGGGACATGGCGCTTACGCAAGCAGGAACATTCACACACACGAAGAAAACGCTTAAATTATGCAAGCTAATATGATGAAGAGCAAACAACGTGCAAGTGAAGGGAAAACTCGGTGACTGACACCGTCCGTTGTACTGTAAACTTGATGTCAAATCTCTCTATTATCAGCAGAGCGATAGGCTGTTGAAAAGAATATTATATCGCAGTATTTTGAAGAATATACTAATAGTATTTTCCGTTTTGACCAATCGAATGCACCCTTACACTTGACGCATGTCATGTAGTGTACGACATATACAAACCTCGCCCGCGGTGTCTGTAATCTGCAGCTCGACATCTTCATTTTCCATCTCCACGTGAACACTGTAGGAATCCTCTGCAAATATAAAAATACGAATTGAAAAATTCAGTTCAAGGTTGGCATAAGCGAAGACCGCTTCGGAGGGATTGCCACCCTACCGAGGTGGAGTGGTTTGCGAGTCTCAATCAGGCTTAGACACTGCCATTCTGCCGGCTAAATTTTGGGCATGATGCTTAACCCTTTAAACCCTAGGATCAAAATTAAAAATCCCAATTGTGGCCCCTATTCATTTCCTACAGACGTAGTGGGGAGAAGTTGATAAAATATCAAGCAAATTCATCTTTTTTGATCATGTCAATAATTCTCGTGACCACTCTGTTTTACAAAGCATTGATATTACAAGGAGAAATTTGATGCTGATCACTCTTAGGGCTTAAAGGATTAAGGCTATGTTCACACTATAGAGTGTTTTCACATGACGTCACGGCGGCCATATTGGTGTCCCAAAACAATGAAACGGCGGCCATGTTGGTGTACCAAACCAATCCTGAGGGAGTTGAACTCTTTTCTTCTTCAAACGCTTTCTTTTGTTCCAATAAATTTGCCTAGTAGATACTGGCCACGTGAGTGAAAACGAGCCCGTGAAAACGCTCTGTACCGGATAGCTTTGCGCCGGCACGAAAGCCATACTGGAGAGAGTCTCTGTTTACACAGAAGAACAGTGATTTCGGAGCGGTTTCTGCAACGGCGCGAAGCTGCGCCGCGTCGATCTCGAACGTGGAGAGTCACATATCGCGCGATAGGCGTTCACACCATACCAGATAGCTTTGCGTGTCGGCACAAAAAGGTATCCGGCGGTATAGTGTTAACATGGCCTAAGTTAAAGCATCAGGCATGTTGCCTGGGTAACTTTAAAATGGAAATAATACTGTTTTGCAATGTATGAATTTTAGTCTCTTTATATACTGGTAGTTTACTTAACTATTTGTGCGTGTTTCTCTGTTTTCTTTGTTCTTGTGTCCCTGACCTAAACATTTAAACATCTTTTCTTTTAACTGACTGCCTGGCATTTTTAACTCTTAGGTTATTTCGCAGCCACCGCCCCTATCATCGTCTGTACTATTGTTATAAATTTTTATTTCTTGTATATTATGGGGTGGAATAAAGTGTTGTTGTTGTTGTTGTTGTTGCCGACAAAATGGACATTTTTTCAGCATAATCCTACAAAATTTGACTTCCAAAGATTTCAAAGAAATTATACAAGAAAAATGTCTTAAGTTTGGTTTTCAGCTGATTTCTTTCAATACTGCCCGGTTACACTCTCTTTTTTATATACATATAAGATTATTGTTCTTCTGGCCCAGGCTGCATATTCTTATTTTCTGCCGGTTATAGGCTGAAAAATATGATTGTATTTGTAATGGTGACGTTATCTTTAATGACACTCTGGAAAGAAGGCTTCACAAATGACTCAAATCAGGCGGATTACCAGCCTTCTCGATGCGACTAGCATGAAAAAAAAATCTCTCTAAATAATGTCTACGCCATACTGACGCTAGCAACGCCTGTTTGAAATTAACTTGGAACCAGTCCTTCCGTGGCGTGAGGCTTAGTCCTCGCGCTGCTTACATGCAAATTTCGAGCAAAACAAGAAACAAAACAGTATTATTCTTAAATTAAAGTTGAGGACATACACTGTCCATAAGTATTACATGTACCCTTAATAGAACTACTATCAGCACTGAACATGTTGGCTTTAGTTAGAGCTGTTTTTTTCGTTTTGTTAGCTAGTTTTCCCGTTTAGTAAGGGAATAATTTTGTCAGGTAAGTCAAAAACAGATAATTCCATTTTATTAAGAGATTTTCGACACACAAAATTATGTCCTTTTCAAAATCCCAGGATTTGGGGGAGCAAGGGTGGCGCAGTGGTGAGAGCACTCGCTTCCCACTAATGTGGCCCGGGTTCAAATCCCGGCGTCGACACCATATGTGGGTTGAGTTTGTTGTTGGTTCTCTCCCTTGCTTCGAGAGGTTTTTCTCCGGGTACTCCGGTTTTCCCCTCTCCTCAAAAACTAACATTTCCAAATTCCAATTCCACAAGGAATCAGGTAGACGAAGAACCACTATGTGGATGTGCTACCTGCAAATCGTTATTTATTTATTTATTTATTTATTTTAATCCCAGCGTCGGGTTTATTCTTAAAATAGTCTTAACATTTCGCAAATTTTAGCCTCAATATTCTTATGAAATATATTTTTATAGAATTAAAAACAGGACGAACTTCATAAAGCCAGGTTCTCGACAAATACAGAGCCGTTTAGAACTTGTTTTTTTTTTTGTTGCTTATCTCGTACTATAGAAAAGCAAGAGTGTAGAAACAGGAGTTAAGAACATAAAAAAGTATATTTTCAACCTATTGAGGTAATTTATTTGGGCAGGGACAGAAAAAGGACTCAACTTTCTCCAGCAGCGTTAATTGATCTAAAAAGCATAATGTGCGTAAACCTCGTCTCAATGACCCATAGAGCTATGTCGGCTGGAGTCTTGCAATCCTGGTGTAGTCACTCATGCCGAAAAGGTCAAAGGATAGAGACCAGACTAAGTGTAGTCCCCAGGTCCTTCAGTTTGGGGGTTGGGCTGAGGGCTGCCTATCATATAACAGGAACCAGGAAGCCTTATGTGCCACGAGGCACAAAGGGGATAGGTTATGAGTAAAAGAGAAGGAAAGTGCCAGTAATTAGTTTGTTCGTTTAGTTTTTGTTTCCATTACAGCTTCCAAAAGAAAGAACTAAAAGATCTTACCTAACGACCGCGCGTATTCCCCAATAAACCTCTTAGTTATGAAACGCACGACAAGAGCTGAAATAGAAAAATAATAATAATAAACCTTGTTGAAGTAGAATAACCGCGAATGATACACGTTTACCACAGAAAAAATGACGTTCCTAATTAAATTAATAATAATAATAATTTTTAATTATTTTAATTATTTTTTTAATTATCATTATTGTTATTAGTATTGTTATTATCATTAAAATACCTAAAGCTTCTTGTCAACATATTTGAAGACGCTAGCGTTCCACAGTGTTGACAGCAATTCACGTTAAAAAAGATTTCACTTGACAATAGACCGGATTTGGTAGAGTAACTTGTCATATTTACGTAACGATATAATCGTCAGAAAACCATAACAAAGAAACGTCATTGGTTCTGCGGCTTTTAAACGACAATGGAATAATTAACACGGGAGTACACGACACGACCGCCTTTTTCCTCCGCCGTGAAAACGGAATAGTGAAGAACAACCACAACAAGATTGGGACAATTGCTCATACAGAATAAGAAGACTAAATTCCAAATAGTTTAAGTGATGGAAAACTTATTCCCTTCTTTGACAGCAGCAGGCACGAATAAAACTGTTCATTAAATCTGTTTTGATTGCCTGATTGAGCATTAAAACAGAAGTTCACTGATATTAAAACAAGTTTATATAAGATGCGTGCGTTTGGAGACAGGGCAACCAAGAAATCAGACATACTAAGACATTTGATAAGAACTTTAATAGACCGATCACAAAAATGCCCTATTTTACTCCTAACAAAATTACTTCCAGTAACCTAAACTTAGATGATTATCGTGGCTATAAAGAACAACTTTAACAACGGGATATAATTGTAAATCATATTTGTAGCTTGTTCGCTGGCAAATTTAAACACTAACCTGACTTTCCAACTCCATCTTTGCCAAGCATGAACACCCTCGGTTGTTTTATAGTTAGCTGTTGTGTTCGTCGCCTTCTCATGTTGCTCGATTTTTCTGCTGCTGTGTTTCACCACAAACCTTTGAAAAAGAGAACCGAATTATAGCGCTTCTAATTAGTCAATGGATCACGCAGCGTTTAAAGCCTTAACTAACACTTTCTACGAGATTTGTTGACATTTCAACCACTCTTACATGCAACAGTTAAGAATGCAGCAAGTTTCTGACGCACTGTTCTCCGCGTAATTTCTTGGCTTAAATGGAATTTATTGTTCGCCTTATCACGAGCCGGTATCAAATAATTAAATGATTAATCTGGCATTCGTGCCCTGAGGGAGTTTGAAACTAAATTTGTAAAAGGCACCAGTCCTGCTACCAGAACCGGTATGTAGGTAGTGTACAGGGGAGGGGCAGGAGGGGGGGGGAGGGTGGGCGACAGAGTCGGTACACCAGGGTACCGATATCGCGATCATTTTCAATCCATTATTCATAAAAAAAAGTCCTCATCACTGTCCCCATTCCATTCAGTTTTTACTTACCTGAAGTCACGTATATCGGTAAAATCTACTTTTGACAAAACTTTCGAACGCTTTAAATGCAAATGTGACTTCATTGACACTTCTTTTAGATTTAAGAAATGTTAGGAAAGTTAAAGAAGATTAACCAACAAGGGGTGATTATACCACTCAGCCTAAACTGGTAACCAACATGACGCTGTTTTTTCGCTGTAAGTGTATAATTATGGCCTCGAAGAGTAAACTACAAAACAGAGCGCGGAAAGCGTGCCCAGACCTTCCTGTTGCTCAACTCGCTCCCCTTCCAGACCTTTTAAAGATCGCCTGTTTTCTGGTGTACGACGAGCGCGATTTTAGATACAACGATCGAAATGCAAATGTCAAAACATTTTTAAAGCTTACAGTTGTAAAAAGAGCAAACGGCTCTAATAACTTCCGAAACGCTCTAGGGCTAGACTATAGCTATAATACCTTAAAAGCAACTTCAGACTGCACGAGAAAAGAGAGAGAATGTTCATCCGTCGAGGAAAAACCATGGATTCACAAAAACAAAACAAATAACAGACTATACACGACTATAAAAGCTACCTTAGGGCTACAACAATCGAAAAAGCCAAAATTGGAAATTCATTATCAGATCTTTAATCCCTCACTCACGATCTTAAGTGAGGAATGTCCTTGAGAAAGTGTTTTCTGGAGCCAGTAACGATCAATTCACAAATACGTTCTCCACTTAAACTTACCTAGTTTTTGTACTCCCCTTAGCTTTAAGCCTTAGCGTCTTTGTCTTCGAAGTTTTCGAAAGGCGTCCAGTTTCGATTAAGGTGTAATTACATAATCAGTTGAGGAGAATATGATCCAGTTATATACAGTAAGGGACGACGTGATTTTTATGACATTTTTATGCAGTTCGTGAATTAATTTACAGCTTAAACAAGTCAAAGTACATATCTTACTGATGCGCACGTGATAAACGATCAGCAACTCTTATATCGCGATAAGGTCCTTCAGGACTGAGCTTGGGATCAAGCTTATTAATCGAGGTTGCACGTACTGTTGGCACGATTTTTAAAGTAACCGTCTGCTTTCTTCCTTAAAAACATGTCCGGTATATCGAGGCCCTGTTAGGTTAGCAACAGAGTAACCACCAGTCTTCAACACAGTAATTAAGTTCCAATAACGTTTAACTGATGAAAGGGATCATTTCCGCACTGACGTCTCAAACACCACTATCATACTAGGTAATAGGATATCCTGTTTAAAATTTAATATTTCTTTATCAGCAACAAACACAAATGTTTAGAGCCACATCAGTGAACATGTCTCCCTGTATTTGATTTTGGCAATGGCAGAATTCGCAAAGTTTTTCTTCTGACCACACCTACTCTTTATAAGATTTCCAGTCTGCTGCGATTTTCATAGTCGCAAGATGTGTTCTTTTAATATTATCCAAGAACAGGAAATCTAGCAAGCAACATTACAACATCCCAGTTATTCCTGGCCAACAGTGTAAATCCATCAAAATACCTGTTTTAGCCCTAAAAATGGCGCCTTTTTTTGAGGAACCCTTCCCTTCTGTTGTTTCATTGATTTCAAATGCCTTGCTATTCGTAAAATGCAATTAATTGGTTAAGAGGACATATATCGAGAAAGGTTTACCCTACCAATACAGTACGAATTTACCTTCTTTTCTAGTCATAAAAGCCATCTATCTCTCATACAAGCTGTATCTCAAATTTCCTCTATATTAATTTTTTGACAACATCCTCAGTTTGCATAGTACAAATTTCAGTAAAGCAAGCCGATCTACAGCTGCGAAAAAATTTGGCGTCCAATATTTCACCAATAAACTATTAAAAAGATATATTGAGTGAAACAACTCGTCTCTTTTTTTTTTCGTTTTTGTAAGTACACCTTCCATCTTACAACCGCTTACCCCTAACCAGCTTGATCTTTATTTAAATTCTTAATATAACACTTGGATTACAGCGCATTACAGTATTATTTTGTAGAGATCGGAATGAAAATTACATGACAATGACCAGTCGTCATAAAGTAATTCATAATGAAAACACAAAGGATATTGATGTTTAATGAGTGTTTAAAATCAGATGAAAAAGTCTTGATTTTACATCTTTAAATCCTCCTTTTAAAAATCATTTTCTTTGAGAAGTAAAATCAAACATTCCACAAAGCTAAGTATTTCCTCTATTTCATCACGAACTCAGTTTGCCAAAAATACCTTACAGCGCGTTGCATTTCCAATTCCAACTTAACTCTTTTCTCAGTGTTTGATCTTTTGATGAAACACTACGTCTCATGTGTACGATAATAAAATAGAAACTGAACTGGATACCATCAAGGCCCATTACATACTATACCACAAATATGAAAACACCCCTACTCAAAGGTCTTTTTAAAGCTGTCCAACAGGAATTTCTACCTCAGTTTAATGAAAGACACAGGTGCACACCTCGATACACGATTTCCTCAGCCAGACTAATAGTATACATTGACTTTTTTCATCCGGAGAAAAAGGAACACTTATTACAATGCACCCTACGTAGCTCTTTTGGGCATAAATGCACCCATATAAACAGTTTCTCTTACGCAAGCACCACATTACTACAACAGCTTACTCAATTACGTGACGCTCAATAAAAAAATGATCAGGATGCTTAGCGTGCTAGCACGATGTTACGAGTAAAGAAACATGAAAACGTGTCGATATTCTAAATCCGGCGTGTTAGCGCCGAGCGGTAACGTCGCGAATATACCTGCACTTGAACTTTTCACGAAATTCAACCCTGAGTTGGACATGCCCAGTTCGAGCGGATGAACGTAGCGGCTTTTACGAATTACATAACTTGTGTTCATTTTTTTTTTCAATACAAAGTACATCGAGAAAGTAGCCAACTTTGACAGACGATTGACATTTTCGTTTCTCAAAGTTAAAAATAATCTTCCAAACCTCAAAATTTTGACCTGTACTATGCATTTAGCTTTATTTAGTTACAAATCCGAATGACCTTAAGGCGTCTCGAGAGGATTACGGCAAAATAGCTAAGTGTTTCTCAGTATAGCAGTCTTGTCAAGAGAGGTCGTAGAAATATATTCGATTTCAAACAAACGTGCTTAAGTGAATGACATAGTTGTTCGGCTTAATTTAAATTGTTTACAATAACGGAAATAGATTCTCAAGGGTAGTTTTCAGATCTGGTGGACCAGAATATGGTTAAATAATAATCAACTAGTTGAACAGGATCAAGCTAGGGGATACCACGAAAATTCGACCCCTCGATTACGCATTCTAGCAAGTTATTCCCCAGAAAATTTGGAAATCTTGATGCTCTATTAAAACCCGGAACAAAGTACAACGTACAATGAAGTAAAAATATTCATACAATTTTTCAATTCGGGAAAAGAAGGCGCAATGGGAAGAACTATGACAAAAGCTTCTATTTCATGTAATGAGCTTGTGACCCGCGTGGGTTTAAAGAGCTTGAAACGTACAGCCAGATGGTCTCTGCAGTTTAACGCAGCTTAATGCGTCAATACTAATACTGTTAAAATAAACCAATAATCATGCCGTTTGATGATACTCCACTTTTCTCGTTTGATTACAACACAACCTTGTGATTACTTGGGGGGCGAACTTCGTTGGCCCAATGACTCAATTTCAAAGCAATTTCCTTTCATAAAATTAGGCAAACCACATGTAATCAACACGACCCAGGAACCCAAATATCTACATTTAAGAGTTTACATGTGAAAATATATTTGAGTCACCTCATTCAAAACAGTTAAATAAACAGTCGCCCAAAAATATCCCTCGAAAATTTTGAATTAATCCGTGAATCCGACACTAAACCAAAGAGCTTCATTCGTGGCTCCACGTGTATTCTGCCGGGACTGATCTAGACTTACCTACTGCAGTTGACACTAAAATGGCTAGTACCTTGTAGTTGATCCTCAATGTGGCGGGAGAGCCAATCTTTGTTTCTCAAGGTTCAAGTAATTCACTGACCACGATCTGCGCAATGAGTCTTGCCCCTGGAACTAAAATACGGAATTCGTCAAGGTTGGTTCAGACAGTCGCAGTGAATGGATGGGTCACAAAACTGCCATCTCTTTGAGTCGATGTAAAGAGACTTCTCCTAGATTATGAGATAAGAGATGTATCTACTTGCAAAAGTCAATAAACACAAACGGTACTTTAAATTCAACCCCCAATCGAGTACATGAAATATGCGAGATATTCACTAGTTGAAAAAAAATATCTGGGTGAGACGGACGAAATCAATACTCACACTTGGGCTATCATCTTAGGCATTTTAACCTTGCACATAAAGCGTGCTTGATGGGTGATTTTCTTATGTTAGTTCTGGAAATACACAATATTTGAAGACAAAAAAATTTTGTAGCAAAAAATAGTACTTAGTTGGTACTCTAATTTGTTGTAATACCAAAACTAGCAATAGTTGCTTCTGATGACAACGCAGTATGAAAAACGCATTAAAAACATCAGTTCACTAAACATATTATTTTACCGGCCCTCTAACGCTCTGCCCAGACAATGCCTGTTCGCTATTTATTTTAAATTAACTCCTCTCTCTTGCTTTCATGATTATATAAGTGTCATGATTATATAAGTGACGCGAAGATTAAAATAGTTACCAAGTTGATTTACAAAAGTAGACATTTCACATGAAAGACTTACTATGATGAAGATTCATTTACAAACCTCAGACTTTTTGTTTTACTATGATGAGTGCATGCTGTACTATAAACCAGTCTTCACATTTTATACAGAGGAAAGTATTACCATCGAATTCGAAAAAAAGTGCTATTTGACCGAAGAAACTGTGAAACCACAGGCATTTAAAATTACGTAAGTCTAGAAAACTACAACGTAGCTATCTTCACAAGTCGGTGAAATGTTACGCCTTTTCATTCAACACGAATTAATATTCGGTAAACAATTGAGGTCAAATATGTAAGCATAGCCTTTAGCCATATATCACTTCAAAATCAGGAAATTCGATTCTTGCAAATCACTCATTTTTGGGGTTGAAGTAAGGCGAAATTGCCCCAGACTTACTCGTGTCCAAGACATGAATAATTTGACAGTGTTGAAATCATTTAGCAGAGTCTCAATTCCCAAGTCTATAGACACGGAGGTAACGAGTTAACACATTGAAATTTACGAAAAGAAAAATGAGCTCAGACACTCTTGACAGTCCAGAAAAATAATACGTTGCTTGTACAGTCAACTCTCTCTAAGACAGACACCTTTGGGACCGACACTAAGTGTCCGTCTTACAGAGAGGTGTCCATCTTATAGAGAGTCAAATAAAAGGAGTAAAGAAAGGCAGGGACCAACTCTAGGTGTCCGTTTTACAGAGGTGTCCATCTTATAGAGAGTCAAATAAAGGGAGTAAAGAAAGGCAGGGACCAACTCTAAGTGTCCGTTTTAAAGAAGTGTCCGGAGAGAGTCGACTGTAGATGCAAAAATACTTTGAAAAAGTCTTAACACTGACAATGCAAAAGTTGCAATGTTCGAAAACCGCCGCACTGATAAACGTTCAAGAGCTGTTTTAAAAGAACGTTAAGTGCTAACACTAAATTAACCGATACACTTACCCATAAAGGGGACGATAGTAAGCTGGTATTAATTACTCTCTTCCTTCGGTTTGATCTTCCTTCTTCAACCATAAACTCTCTCACACCGGAGAACTTCTTAACCACCGAGTATCTTGATAAAATACAGGCACTGCGCACGACATATGACCGAAGTGAACGGATGCCATTCTTGACTTCATGTAGCTTTTCACTCTTCCGTCATTCCTTCATACTTTCCCAGTGTAACTTAATCATGATACTGACACATATTGTCGCCCATTCAGGTGGCTGGGTAGGAATGCAATGGCACACTGTTTGATCTCAAAACATCAAAACTTTTGTTGATCATTCTGTAGACTGTTGCTTGAACGCAGTATATCACAGCAAGGAAACAAAATCGTAACATTGGTAAAAATATGAACTCTACCATCTTGTAAAATGTAAGAACCAAACAGTCGCACTGACTTAATAGTGTATGTAACAAGTTTCAAATCTTCTACTTAGTTGGAAATTGGGTCAAGTCAATTTCTTGGCTTTTTATCAGTATTTAATGACTGTAAATTGTTATGAACCACTGCAGGAAATGTTTACAAAAGTACTCTACAAACATCTTTGTTAAGTGGATAATGAGTTTTTCGTGATGTTTGCCTTGTTCTTAATCGACCCCAACTGATGACAGAATGAAAACCATTGGAGTTGTTTTTCAAAGTTACAGGCCTGCAAGGAATTTCTTACTCAGTTTCACTTACATTTTTGCCGGAAAGAAAGAAACAACGAAACCCCCCTGGCCTTGAGCAGAGTCTCGGAAGAGGGTTTTGATCCCGTATTCCCGCGCCATTTCCACGACAATTCTGCATATCCCGTACTTCTGTTATCTCTATCCCGAGTAACGTTTTCTTTCCCAATACCGCAACCCTTGCCAAGTCCCGCTTCCCGAGTAGCGATCAAATCCCGTATCCCGTCAACAAATTTTGTGTTTTTCCGAATCATCGCCGCACTGTATTTCGGTTATACCGCGTACCGCCGGATTCCGAGAATACACCCTTCCCTTCCAGACCCTCCTTGAGGGCAAGTGAATCTATTCATGCAAAGGCGAAATCGAGTTACGTTAACATCAAAACAACTTGAAGTTACATAACTGTTTCAACTGTTTATTAATTATTGCAAATTTTACAGCAAGAAATATCCACTGCCCGCAGTTAGCATAAGGTTACTGGCTTAGGTTAGAATTTCCGCTGTTTACCTCCAACAGCTACCTTACTTAAAATAGAATCAGTATCAAAGTAACAAAAGCCACCATAGCTTTTTAAAAGCTTTCATACGTTTAGTGTTTAAATACAATAGTGATTTCTGAGTCACGTTTGGTACGTTCCAGTGGCTAAGAACTCGAGACTGGGTACAGGGGCACCCAACGAGAATATAGTTTAAACCACTTAAACATAGCATTGTTAAACGTATTTCAGTATTTAAACGGTATATATAGTCATATTTTTATCCCCTAAAAATTTTTCATCTGTTCGGATTTCCTAGCTGAAAGTCTAGTGATCCGAAAATTATAGGGATCAAAACTTACCTTTTCGAAAATTTCAGCCAGAAAAAAACTCCCGAAAATTCTAGATGACCTTTTTAGGGTAAAAATCGGTTAAAAATGGGCAATGTTCAAAAATCCTAGGAGAGGCAGGGAAGCAAGAAATTTTACAACAAATGTTCCGAAAATTCTAGATCTCAAATCGTCTTCCGAACAGGTATATTCCAAAAATTGACGTTGGGTGCCCCTGTGGGTACTCAGCAGCACTGCTGTGCCAAGGCTATGGAATAACTCTGCAATCGCAAATCTCCATCAACAGCTCTTAAAAAAAAAAGAATTGAAAACTTATCTTGTTTTAAAGAAACCTATGATTTTTAAATTTTATTTATAGTACAAGTATATACATTTTCATTCTCTCGGCTGTAAATTTATCTTAAGACTTTGAACTTTTATAATTCCTTGTACATTGACCTACATTTTTAAGAGCTGTAAATTTATCTCGGTATTAATAGCTTTTAGTTTTTACCTGGTGGGCATAATGGTTGAAAAGCGCCATAGAAAATTAGCTGAATAGCGCTATATAAATTAATATTATCAAGTACATTCACACTCAAATGAACTGCTTTTTTTCGGTTGACTTTGGAAGAAACCGGATAAGCGGAATGTAATGAAGCGCACGTGCTTTGTCATTTTCGACATATGGCGCCCATATGCAGTGTGTGAGCACCTATAAATGAGGAGCCTTCGAATCGATATCACATAACTGAACACCCGACATCTTCTGGCTAAACGCTGATGGCAGCGCGACTTCGAAACTATTCGTTAACCTGTATTACCATCAAGTTCTTAGCGAAGGTAGATTTAATCGCAGTCAACAAAAGCATCAATACTATTTCTTTCCTATCTTTGAAATGATGCAACAGACTTTCCAGTTTAATTTCTTCCAGACTCGTTTGATTTCATTCAATTAGTTTCTGTTTTAATAAGGTCAGAGTTCAATCTAAAACTTAATATCTATGATGTCTATAAACGTTGGCCGACTATCGCGGATGATCGGTCAGTCAGAGAAGCCTAAAGAGCTGAAACAGCTGTTCCTGAGAATCTGGCACGATTTAACACGATTTCATTTAGTTGAGCTCGATTAAATCTTTACACAGACCACGAAAACACCGAGGGGATACTCTCTATAACGGCCTATACGCCGGGAGAGGCTCCAACTAGACTGAAAGTGTTACCTTTTTCAAGCTTCAAGTATATGAAAGGGGTACGGATTTCAACAGTTGAAATATATGAAAGGGTAGGGAAAGGCTGTCATTTCGGTCTGTAAAAATACCCAAAAGGGCTTACAGATACAATTTATGGCAAGTGAAAAAGTCCAGAAAACGTTCGAGTTTAGCGTAGCCTGCAGCGCAGGCGTTTTCTTCGGGTGCGCAAATGTTTTTGATTGCGTAAGCGCCACGTTGAACCTCCAAAAGAGAGAAGAGATGGCGGCTACAGATATAACATAAACAAGCAGCTTTCGCCCGCCTAAAAATACGTTTGCCCTACAGGTTAGGTTTTGCGATTTATTCATACTTAAAAGACAGTGCATTTTAAAGCAGTTAAAAGGGATGCGAAAGGGGTACCTTGTCTGTCGAAAATAGTATATAAAAGCGAAAGGGGCTGGACCTCAGTCTGACCTCGGCGCGGAACCTTCCCGTATAAAACCTTCTTGAGTATCCTCTCCCGGAGACCATCGTAGGTCCATTAAAACTGGGTGGAGCCATCACGTAAAAGTACTGCTGAATTGAAGAGGTTTCCTTCGAATGGTCACACCATAGGATTTCGTCCAAAAGTACAGACTGAATAAATACAGTAAATCCTCTATTATGCCTCTAGACGGGGGGGGGGGCTTATTTATTTCAAACCCATTTGAGAGGGGGGTTTAAAAGAGACGGGGGGCTTATTTAATCTAGAAAATACGATACTATCAGTTCTCCATAAAGAACTAGAATACAAAGTGGAAAAGCTCAAGTACAAGACGTTGGAGGTCATGCAGCCGAGGATCAAAACTTCTAGTTGATGAATAAACCATCCCGGATCGGTAAACAGTCTACCATTTGTTAGTGAAGAA